TGGACCTGTTGATTATCTAAATATATATACAAATATACTTCCACGGAAACGTACCGTGATCCTCGATTTGTGTCTGAACGTACGAATGTAAATATACTAAAGCACAGATTATTGCAAGCCCACGCTTTATTAGTCAACGGTTCGTGATATTAACATAACATAACGGACCATTCTCCACAAAGATATACCTCGAATGGAAGCGATATGGGGAGTGTTAGCGGATTATTTATTAAAATATAGATACAAATATATAAATATATATAATGCCAGATTTGACACAAAGGATATAGATCCAGCAGTTATTTATGAAACTGAACAAGTTTCCTCAAAGAAAAATATAAGTCGAAATGTCATATAACGATTGAACCCTTATGAACTGTATATTTCGTTTAACAAAGGTGTTAATCTGTTACATTTATGTCGATCAATACCGAATAAAGATTTTACAATTTTATTAATCAGGTTTATAAGTAAGTTTTTTATTAAGTTTTATTTTTTTATATTTTCACTGGTTCCTTGCTTCTAATACTAGATAAGTTAAATGAGACACTATCCTATGTAACCAAAAACGAGTCAATTCAGAATAGTTTATATTCTAAATTGGCTCGAATGAGAATCGAACCAAGCATCTTATTTTAAACAAAGCAACGGTGTTAATGCCATCTACAAAGGTTGTGATTAGTTCAAAATTTTTTTTAATGTAAAATTGAGGTTATTATTAGCTCATCCTCTCTTATGATGATCTCTTATTATTATGTCCTAATGGATAGATAAATACTCCTTATTAGCTATAAAAGATTTATAAAAACGATTATATTAGTAAACTAAACAAAAACAAATATTACAAGAATAAGAATTTTGACTTTTGCTGTTTATGCTAGCTACTAATTAGTAGACATCTATTAAAAGTAATGTAACAAATTTATTATATCACAATGTATACATCTGTATACTCGTAAGTATATAGAAGTACAGAACAGCTATAATAGAATAAAAAAAAACTTGTCTACTAAAAGCAGACATCGTAACATATACGCTCTTTGCGAATATTATCCTACTAATATGATAAAATTGTAAATAGACGATGTCTATACATGAAAATTATTTAAGAAAAATAAGGAGTTTTAATGTAATAATAGACGCTAAACCAATAATATTAAGAAATTTTGTTTGTCTCTTTGTATGTGTGTTCCGGTATCACGCAAAAAGTACTGCACCAAATTGAATGTAGTTGTCTTCTTGAAGTTCAAACTTAAAATCTAATGTATGTTTCTTCTTGATACATCATCCAGAAGTGGTATATTTAATTAGTTTTCCTACTTTTATAAACCACGCATATTCGTAGAGGGCAAAAACTAACATAAAATTAAGGACTTAGATTTGCAAATTTATTTTGGTTACAATTATTAAAAATTACCACAGTATATTATTGCCATTTGATCTAATCATTAACACGATTTCTTTTTATTTCTTTTTTATTAACTTATATTATTATTATCGACATAGAAACTAATATAAAAAATGTAATATATATGCATATAAAATATATAACCTTATACTCAGTACATATATTATATATAACTTATATAACCTCACGTACGCGTAAACGCATTTGTTACAAGGTAAAAGCTATTGTTGAATAACTTAGCGTGTAAGTACAGAACTGCATTGTTATATGTTTAAGTTAAAAAACAAGGTTTAAAATTATGTTATATTTCTACACAACGAAATTAGTGTACAATTCTGTCTAACAATTGAAAAGGCCGTGGGTACGACTATAAATGAATGAAATGTTAGAAGGAAAGAGAATGGATTTCCATTAGTGTTGAATTAAAGCCATTATTATTTGACTATAAGAACATAATATGTTTTTATGTGTAGATACCTATTATATGTAGATACTTTTATAAATAAATATGTGAGTTTAAAAACTCATTTAGTTATATAAAATAATAGGTTTGGTCTGACAATCTATCTTGAGATTTCATATTATTACTCAGTCAAACGTTCTTCTTTATTCTTTATTGTACACAAAAGGTTATTGAAATGTAAAAACAAACATAATAGTGCACAAGGGCGCGCTTAAAATAGAATATTTCCAGTAATATAAAAAGTGACAGTTCATTAGTAGTTACAGTCATACATTTTAAATTGACTTATAGACCGGTCATAATGGCAATTGGTAATTGATCATGTATATGGTCAAAAATTTATGTCAATCACTTTGTTGTAAATTGTAATTAAATGATGCTGCATTACATCTACTTCGATATCGTTCAACTACTCCTAATTGCCAAGAAAACTGGTATCTTACCACTCGTACTGGTATCGTACTCTTTTAAATTAAAGTCATCACCATACTATATATACATAGATATTTAATCACGTAAAATATTTTGCACTATCCATTATCTTGTAACTCGCCGAAAAATCCCATTCTAATATAACAATTATTACGAGCCTAAATTTCCCATTAATACAGATTGCATATACCTACAAATTTTCTGTAAAAAATATCTAATAGACAGCGAAACTCGTATCAAATTTAATTGTATGATTTAAAAAAAAAATAATCGGACAAGTGGACGTATGCTACTTTGTTTTTCACTATTTACAGAACATATCATTCAATCGATCGCTATGAAAAATAAATATATATTCACAGACAGGATGCCTTCCGGGTTTTATAGTTGAAAATATGAATACACACTTGCCTTTCTCCGGGTACACTAACAGTCATGCTCTGATTGTGTCACATCGCATGAGCGCTTCTATAATCATTTACAAACCGATACGGTAATATGAGTTGCTATTATATATGAGACTTCCACGCCTTCTAAGAGAACTTTTAAATAATTACACAACATTAATAATGTATTGAACGATCACACCATTTGTTTAGCCTGATGCTAAAGTAGAATTAGTGATTCGTCTTTAAGGTATCACGCTTTTACCAATTTCTATGATGAAACAGCAATGTTGATTTTATTGAAGAGCAAAATTGCTTTTAAACAACCACGTTTTTTATTATTGGAGATAGTTGCGCATAAGGAGTATCAAAGTGGCCTCACCGTTTAGTTATTTAAATAATTTTATTGACCAAAATAGAATATGGAGCAAAAGGCGATCTTAATGATAGTAGAATTCTCTACCAGTCAACCTTTGGGATGAACAGTGAATCAATGGCACCAATTATTACTACATTTCATCAGGCTTATGGGTAAAAATGGACGCAAATAGGAGCCCAGCAATTAGCAGTTACATATTTATTTGTAATAGGTATATGACACTTCTAGTTTGTTTTTTAAATAATTACATCTTGATCTGCACCTGACCTGTCCCACAGTCCTTTTGTGGAATGTACAAATAGAAACCACTATTTTTGTTTAAATTAGCATATATTTTATAACGGCATTATTACAGTTAGTTATCTTCTGTATTGTCGATGCTTGACGGCGGGAAACAAGCGTGAATGTATGACGATACTTGGGATCATACTATTTTTTTTTCACGTAGTAGTATTTTAAAAGATATTTTTTGTTTGTATAAAAACTCTACAACCAGTTCAATTAATTTTAAAATTTTACATTATAAACTAGCTAGGATTTTATGATACGTATCGATATCAATATTTTGGATAAAGGCATATCATAAATAGTTGTATAACACTATTAGTATTCATTTATTTTATTGTATTGGTACTTCTTGATGTTTGCATGGATTAATTTTCCAGTTTCGTCAGTATAAGCATAGTGCCGACTCTTCACAAATGTAGTGATTATCTTCTCTGTACCTATATTATCTGAGGATATGTACAAATATGTCATTGGTATAGGTATGTTTACCTAATGCTTCAATTAATTATTGATTTTATTGAACCTGCTTCTATTCATTGACGTCACGTTCAGCACTAATGACATCTATCATATAAATTATTACTATTTTATTGTAAAATGTTGTGACATAAGACTATAATGCGCGTGTGTCGACGTGAAACCTTGCTGCCTTGATCTCTGAGCTTCTGAGTCAAGGTGTCCGGGAAGTAACCTTTTGTGGACTGATGAAAGGACTTGTTTTTTAGTAAATTATAATTGAGCTTAATATGTATATTCATGATGGCGTGTAATTTTACATGAAAATACCATTCATCATCATCATTATCATATTAACTGTTACTTGTCCGCTGCTGAACATAGGCCTCCCCCTTGCGGGGTTTTGCCAGTAGTTGCCACGTTTGGCAGGTGGGTTGACAACCGCAGTTAGGCTTTTAGTGACGTTTTAAGAGAGACGCTGCTGCCTATCCCTCAACTATTAAGTTAAGGAAAAGAAGCGATGGCTCATTTTATGCTGGAAACATACGGTGAAACGTCATTATCACTAGCTAATTATAGAATAAAAAACCTTAAGTACAAGAAGACATTACTGTCAGAAAGTTCATGAGATGGATCGTCTACCATATTACACATTAAAATGTGTTTAATTTAATTCGGGAAATACCAGTTGGAATCAGATTTAACCAAATTGGTTTATCGAAGGTTCCTTGCGAAGGTTACAGTTCGTAACCTACGTCCTTACGAATAATAAGCTATAAGGAAATAAAAAGGGCAGTTAATTATAACGTTAATAATAACAGATTTTTTATTTCCTTATAGCTTATTTACTCACTCATTTCCACTAACTTTTACCAACAACCTGATTCACCCATTTACTATACTTATTTTCTCTGAGATCTGAATTCAAATTTTCTACTCTACGTCAATTTTAATCGAAATTGGTTTAACTGTGTTGTGAGAAAAACCACGTAGATAGACACATTTTAGACTATTAAATATGAATCTAAACCGCTAGAAACCGTCTTAAATTTTTTGTCATTGCCAAAGGTTCTAAATCAAGCGAATTTCATTTATTTAATAGATTTCTGTCATTAATCTTAGGGAACTACATCGATCATTTTAAGAATATATGACTCATCATTTATTATACGTGTTATTTGTTTCCAGAGCGCTACATCCCAGTCTAAGCATGCAGCGCGGTTCCTCCGCCTGGCAATGGCGTCAATTATGGATATTCTCAAGATCAAACCATTCGTGGAAGTGTCAGTGGGGCAACTGCTGTGGGGATATGAAGATCCGCTCCTCAAATTGGCCAAAGACGTGGTGTCCAAAGAACAAAAGCTTCCTTATGAGGAGTTTGGGCTGTTGTATGGGGTAAGTTCTTTATATAAATTTGAACGCCTATTTTGTTATTGTCTATTAATATAAACAACACCATACATAAAGGAATAACGACCACCGCTACGTCCATAGTGTCCTAAGAGGTCCGACCTAAAACACCCAGATCCAAGCCGATTTAGAAAAGTTCATTTACACAAAACATTGCTACTATCATTACCTGTTACATGGACGTCGTCATCTCATAAGGGGTGCTATGGGTAATATACAATGCCATATTTTGTTTTTGTTTTATCTAAATTGATATAGCAGACAAGTTGATGATCCACCTAATGGAAAGTTGTAACCTTCGCCTATAAACGAACAATGCCATAGATATCATAGAGTATACTGTCTTGTTGTTAATATTTAATTGTCACATACTAATTTACTTCATCAACTTGTTTGGAAAATAATATAATAGGCCATTAGTAAAGTTCTTATTTGATATTTTTCACAGAAAAATGGAACATCACCAGACGTGGTGACGATGTTCACTGGCGCCGACGATATGTCCAACTACGGTATATTCCAACGGTACAACATGCGCGAGAGACTGCCCCACTGGACCACGGACCAATGCAATAGCATATCAGGGTCGGACGGCTCCATATTCCCACCGCACATCACCAAGAATGACACATTAAGAGTTTATGACAAAGACTTGTGCCGACTATTACCTCTTAGGTGAGTGTTTTTGCCATTTACTGTATTTGGAACTCTTAAATCCAAGAATTAGCGTTACCAGACGAAGTGGCAGTAAAAATCAATTAGAGGGCTTTACGAGCTTACGGCTTACGGCTCGTACTTGGTTGCCAGAAACCTCCATGTCACATCGAGCACCGACCAAGGGCCATTGTTTGTTATACAAAGTTCATTCATTTACATATGTTATTAATGTCATATTCTCGTATATTCATGTAAAATGTTTGTGTTTTTCGTCCTACGAGTATACGAGTATGAAACCAATTTTTTGTAGTTCCGGCCATTTGCACAAACATGGTGGCCAACTACTCGTGTATTCCACATATTAATTTCATTTTTAAAGAAGGTCCAAAATGCTGATATTTATAAAAAAAAAACTTTGCCAACTTTAATAAAAAAAAATATTTCTTACAGTTAATATAAGTGTTTATAGTATTACGCCTTTATGTATAAAACGTCAAAAATCTCATAAATACATTATAATTATTGAAATGATCCTTTGCGTTAAATTCCCAATTTGAAAGCAAGTGATAAAACTCTTCAATAGCTAAAATACCTTGTATGAAGTTTTAGTTATTATGAATAAAGGTTTAAAAATGAACGTGTTGACTTTATTTAACTGTATGTTTATATTGTGACTACAGTTAAATATGTATTTACTTATTCAATACATTGAATAAATAAAAAAAAGGTAACAAAACTCTTTTAATAGTTAAGTATGTTTGGAAGATTTAGTCTTATATATACTCTTTACTAACAGAACACCAACATTACTACAGGTTGCAAAAAGACCGATTATAAAGTTCGAGGAACTGATGCTGATGACTGGAGAGATGTTTAAGTGACGATCTCATAGCGTTATCATAATATAAATAGCAGTAGTGTTATTTTGCCTCTATAACATAGAGTGATGACCTTAAAATACTGCACGAAGTCAATGTGCAATAGCTGAACTAGAATCGTATTTAACCATATTTACCGTGGCTAAATCTAAATATAAGAAAGACTCATTCAACCTAATTATGATTATATGATGAAAATTTCATTTTAATCTCGTACATAATCATCACCATACAGTCTATCTTTTCTGTTTAAATCAGCATAATGCATGCACGATATCAAATTGTCCGCTTAGGACGATTGTTATCGTTCGTGCAGCAAAAGTGAACGTGTCAAACAAAGGCTGCTGCACTCATATTGCCTACATGGAAACTGAACGTTATCACACCGACACGTAATTTATTGTTCGTAATAATATTACTGTATTGTTACCTGTGACGCGTCATAATTACAATGAAAATACATTAAATTTACTATTTATAAAGGAATTTAATTTTAATAATAATGCAAATAATAAAATTTCATAAAATTTATCTATTTAGTTATAAATATATGCATTAATTACTGTTATCTTAAATTATATCTTATATTGAACATATTTTGCATAAATAATTAAACAACTAAACAACATCCTTATACTGTCATATTTATATTTATTATTATTTTAATTAAACATGTTGTTCAAACGTAAACAAAATTATATATTATGATGTACTCCTATTTAAAACGTAAATGAAGACTAATAATGACTAATAACTATTTCCTTTGTTGATTCTAAGTTAGATAAGACTTAAATCTAGCAAAGTGATTTCTGTTAGAACTAAAAAATGTTTAGTTTTACGCGAAGATACCTTATGAAATACGAATAATATTGTCTAGAGTAAAATTTTCAAAATAACCGATTCCGCTCCAATGTAATCGCCTTGGCTCGTTTATATTAAGAAAACATAAACTAGTCTGGCTTGAAAACGCTCAAAGCACTGGATCAATAAACTTAAATTTTAAGGTCACTGAATCGATAAACATAAATTCTAAGATCTTTTGGATTTCCAAAATAATAAGGGTAGACAAGTTTTTCGTGGAGGAAGACAGTCAAAATACACCAATAATGAAATCGTGAAAAGGTCAAAATTGCAGAAACGTAACGGTGTGAGCAGTGACACAAAACAATCCGCTCGCACGATACTGTGGTGTGGGGTCGCTATGAAGCGACGATTGCAAAACACGTTTTAGTGCCCATTGTATGAGTTACTACGAACTAACAGTCGCTCACAATACACTTTTCATGTCCCACAGCATTGAACTAATCTAAAACAAATAATCCTGTTATATTACAGCAATATTTGATAATCATAGAAGCGGCAGGCAAGTGTTCATCATCATCATCATAACATATCAACCGTTATCTGACCACTGCTGAACATAGACTTCTCCCATAGACTGCTATAAGAAATGGTCCCAAACTACCTGCATTGCCGTGTGGATTCAACATAGAATAGGCCAAATTTGTTTGCCATTTATATGTTTACATATTAGTATAAAAAAACGTAAAACCTACACTGAATTGGAGAGACTCTTAATAGATCTTTTGAAATGGGGGAAGGAATTGTTACTAATGAGGACTAATAGCAACATTGCTAGCATAACAATGTACCTGGACACGTAAAGTAACGGTCCCTCTTGAAATTATTGTATTTAATTAATTATGAATTTCTCATAATGGGCCAATTCACCTGACTTCATTCTCATCTATCATATCTAACTAGCTGGTAGTCCGCCAACGATATACAATGTAGGCTGGTTAACTATTCCATTGTAATCCATTAAAAAGAAAGACTCCTAAGAACCACGCCTTTGTTTACAGATACCTGGAGGACGTGGAAACATCTGCGGGGGTAGAGGGTTACCGCTTTACGCCACCTGAAGACGTATTCGCGGCAGACGAGCATAACCGCTGCTTCTGTCCAGCCGGCCCGCCTTGTGCGCCCGACGGGCTGTTTAACGTCTCGCTGTGTCAATATGGTTAGTACAATCGTAATTTGTTGGTTATGACTGAAGCACTTCAAGAAAAACCTGCAAATTTTTATAGCAAAATAAATACTTGGTTTCTTGGCTATAGTGGTAACCTAATATATTTTAGATATTTTATAATTTTGTCATAATTAGTTGATGACATAAATGGACACTTAACTATAGGATATGATCATGCAAAGCTATCAAAGCTTAAAAACACCAAGGGGTACTCTTTATAATCAAGAAGTAATGAAAGAATACTATTATATTAGGAAAGTTTTGCAAACCCCAATAATTCTTGAAGAATATTCCGTCTTAAGTGATTGGAAGTTAGTTTTAATTTATTATCTTTTCAGATTCTCCAATAATGCTCTCATTTCCACACTTTTACCTGGCGGACCCGGCACTTCGTGAGGCCGTCGAGGGCATCTCGCCACCAGTACCTGAAGATCACAGACTCTTTATCGACGTGCAGCCGGTATGTTTATAAATAAGTCTTCTTAAAACTAAGGAAGGTTATCTTCTTAGATAAATCCATACAGGATTTATTGAAGAAAAGAAAATTGATCTATCGTTGAATCGATTGATTTCCTTACTGTGTTCAAAAGACTGAAAGTAGAGTCATCGGTGATTTTTGGTTTTCTCAAGCTTATCCTATATAAAAGATATAGCATAAATTCTTAATTAAAAATAATTGTTCTCAGGAAATGGGCATCGCAATGCGAGCTCGAGCGCGGATCCAAATCAACCTAGCGGTATCTCAGGTGTTGGATATCAAGCAGGTCGCCAACTTTCCAGACATTGTGTTCCCCATAATGTGGTTTGAAGAGGTCAGTTTTCGATATCATTTAAAACGATAATTGTATAGTCTGAATAAATAAAGATTCCTTGCGTCCCAAAAATGTGAGAGCACTTTTAATGTCGATAACTCCCAGATATAGAATCAGATAATATCCAGAATTTTTTCTTTCAGAATTTATTTTTTGTCTTCACTAATGAGTAATACTAAATAGGAATATAAATATCGGCAGGCTATCATATTTTTATGAATGATCATGGAATGGTAATCCCATCAGCGCTATCAATATACACTGGCGGGGCACCAATGAGGGATTATAGGCGAGAATAAAAAGCAGATCAGTTAGCCTATCGTGATGTGTTCACCAGGAATTAACCATGATGGTTTCCATGTGAAATTGGGTGGAGATCGACCTAATGGGATATACTGGGGGAAAGAGATTGTTAGTAATGAGTAATGATAATTGTTTAACAATCTCATTGTTAGCAATACACCCTATCAGGTCGACCTCACGCGGTTCCCCCTGGAAACCATAGTGGTTAATTCTTATTCAATTAGTCACTATGCGCCAACTGACCTGCCATCGTCCTCACCTGTCACACTTCATTGGTGCCTCGTCAGTGTATACCGATAGCGCAGGCGGGTTTACCATTCCATCTTCACCCATAAAAAAATAGGTTAAACTGTTAACAATGGAGCCGTTAATTTGGATTGCTACAAATTCCGTTCCCCCCTCGGCAGGGTATCGACTCGCTACCAGCAGAAGTGACATCGCTACTGCGGCTGGCGACGCGCGCGCCGCCGCTGGCGCGCGCGGCGCTGGGCTGGGGGCTGTCCGCGCTCGGGCTGCTGCTCATACTGCTCGCCGTCACCTGCCTCATCAGGTAGCACACGCACACGCCGCACACGCCGCACACGCCGCACACGGCACATAGCTCCATATACTCAATACGCACTACTCTCTATTGGGCTCTCTGAAACTACGACTCGTACTGCTCGACGACGTCGAGTAACACACACTCCTTACAAGAGTAATCCTATCAAGAGATACATAGAGAGTGTACTTTTTTTTTTGATTGATGATAATGGAATGGTAACCCCGCCTGCGCTAACGGAATACGCTGGCGGAGCACCAGTGAAGGGTGATAGATGAGAATGAAAACAGGCCAGTTAGCCCATCATGATGAATTCATCAGGAATTAACCATGATAGTTTCCAGGGGGAATCGCGAGGAGGTCGACCTGGTTGGGTATATTGCTAGCAATGGGATTCTCAGTCTCCATTACTAACAATCCCTTTCCCCCCAGAGAGTGTACTCGTATCGGATGTAAGGAACACGTGTTTACACTTGGTTAGGATTGTCTGTACTGTTGCCCGTCCTAATTTATTAATAGTGGGATAAAGAGTTTGTTAGTAATGGAGACTGAGAATCCCATTGCTAGCAATATATCCAACCAGGTCGACCTCCTCGCGGTTCCCTCTGGAAACTATCATGGTTAATTCCTGATGAATTCATCATGATGGGCTAACTGGCCTGTTTTCATTCTCATCTATCACCCTTCACTGGTGCTCCGCCAGCGTATTCCTGTTAGCGCAGGCGGGGTTAGGCGGGAGTTGCTCTCTGGGTTTATTGAAAGTGAACTCTTACAGAATTCTCTCTGTTCTACTCTCCTGTACATCTATATTCAAAATAAATCATAACAATATAATCTTAGTGTGTAATAAAGTCTGTTTCTCCACTTATTTCTTCTATTACACTCAATGGATCTTATTGCCATTTAAATAAGTATACATTAAGATTAAGTATACAAAAGGTTTGTATACTCATAAAACTTATATGCAAACTTTACATCCGTGTGAAGACGATGGCAAGGTTGGTCTGGGCTGGAAGGACCCGAGTGGCTGACCATGAGTCCAGGGCCTGAGATTAGATGATGGTATTGCACTAGTTGATAGCGGCACCGCAAAGCCCCGCAAACCAAGCGCGTGGAGGCCTATGCAGGCTGAGGCTCGTCTGGCAAATGCCACCTCGACTATATGGCTAATCCGACGCTGAGCGGTTGTCCATTAGTCATAAAATTCAATCATGTGACAATATAAATACATATGTATTTATATAATATATATAAATCATATAGATATATAAAATTTTAAACTACTTCATTGGAACGTACATAGGTATATCTTTCCCTAACACTATATAGTATATACAATTAACATAACATTAGTTCAGAAGAAAACAATAAGAACACGGAAAATGTCTGCGCAGGTCGTCCCACCGTCAGAGCACGCTGAGGCTGGAAGGCGCGGCGCTAGCGAGGCAGCCCCCCAAGCAACCGTCCAAGGACGCGCTCGAGCTCGGCAGACGGTAACCGACGGTACCTACCATCCACCAAACAGCATAGGTATCCACCGCAGTGAATTCCGTCCGAGCCACCGCGGCATCCAAAAATAGTGTACCTACATTAAACATCGAAAAGAGTAAATGTGATCACGTGACCGAATTCTAAATGTTCTCTTCGACATATAATTTACCCTATTATTCATAAAAACGTCAAACATCCAACTTCCTAGCTTTGAACTCTACTATACACACACACTTTCTTTTTCTTCGTTTATCAAAAAGTGATAAAACATTAATTGCTAAAACTTTATTTAGTATTTTATCGTTTTGTCACTTTTTCATCAAAATAGGCAATTTTACGTCTTGATGAATAATAGCTTAATATTTGCGTGATATAGTTACGGTCAGAGCATTAATAGCGACACTGTGTGTGTTATATCGTGTTTTTATATACGATTTAAATTAGTCCTGATTGAAAGGATTTTATACCAAATGTAACATTTTAAACGGAAAACATACAACGTCTCTGTCTTATAGGAAAAGACGGTATAAACTTAACACTACCATGGTCATTTTTATAATACAATACGACCCAAGTTACCTAATTTTTATACTGCCTTTCACCGACTGTTTCACAAACTATGGTTGTGTGTTATACATTCCATTTTAATTGTAGATATCACTTTTTATTAAAAAAAAATTGTAGTATGTATATTTTTAATTTTTATTACGTACTTATTCAATAATTCAATATAGGTATTATTATTGTTTATTAGATAAAATTTTTAATTATTCATTATTATAATCTATTAAAAAATTCAATCTACTTATTTACATTCTCATTATTTTTTATTCTCGTAATATCTACTTTAATTATATCTAAATGAATTCAATACACGCAATTTTATAATTATTTATAATTTAATGGAGGAATTTCATTTTATTTTTAATTAAAAAGATTGAAATTTAAAATTAATTATTATTTATTTATTTGAAAGCTTTATTTTATTTTAATACATAAGTAATAATTTATACATTAAAATTTATTATTTCATAGATAAAGTTAGATAAATAAATGTATCAACCCAAAGAAGTCAAAATATTTTACGTAAACAAAACTTTTGCTTTATTTACTCATGAATTATGTACTATTTTCAGCAATGTGTTTGTTTTTTGCTAGGTATAACAAAACGCAGTTTAAAAACATACTAATACAATACCTACTTATGTATATGAAATTTCTCCATTAAATTTGTTTAATGTATGACATTTTATTTTACTTATTTTAACTTTTTGTCTATGTTCAAGGAACTATATTGTGATAAATAAACATCTTCCATTTACTCGAATAATTGATATTTGAACAAATGATATTTAACTGTTATTATAATGGATATAATTGACAATAAGTTTATATTTAAATCTAAAAATTTTGAAAAAATGTTATTAAATAAATGATTCAATATTATTAATCGAAATATTTTTTACTGTGACTATTTTTTTTATTAAATACACCTCTAGAAAAGAATAATTCGATTAATGAATTGTTGTCTCACGACTGTTAAACTGTAAATATATTTTATAATTTGTACTTACATTGGGCTTCGGTTTGCCATTTTATCGGTAGGGTGGTTACTAAAATATATTTAACCGCCGGCCAAAGGAAATAAATACATATCACCGTAATCTAGGGTCGACGTAAAGTGTCTAAATCCAGAGATGGACCTAAATCAACGAAACATAAAATTACAAACGTGACAGACAAAACTTGTTTACTGAAAAAAAAAACAGTAGTTATATTTTTAAAACCTTCGTAAGTTTCATTGCGTTCCATATCTAATTAACATTTTTTCTATATATTTAATACTTTTGAAAGTTAAGCCCAATTTCTCTAGTAAATTCATAAGAACCCTATATTTCTAAAAGGTATGGAGTAATTTATTATAAAAATACACACTTGTTAATTTTATACTTTATTTATAAAATTTTCTTATAATTTCCCGTCATCTTGGATTCATGACTGTGAAACATGAAGTTAGTTAAATTTGGTCGGTGGTTTTTTTTATTACAATTCTGTTTATAGAGATATATTTACCTATAGTTACTAGTCTAATCATATGGGTTCGTCCTTAGTTTAGGTGTACCTACTCGTATTAACATTATATTTTCGTAGACTCAAAAATGGTTATAGTTAGCATGTAATACTTTGTTACTTGTAAAAATCCACATTATTACTTAAAATGTTTATCATGCAAATTGAATTTAATTTATTTAATAAACTACAATTTACTGGGTTCTTTCCAAAACGAATTAAAAACTTTTAATATTATGACTGTTAATTCATTGAAAGGTGGTAGGGAAATTTGTGTGGGTAGATGCTTCACATGACTTCTGTGTTATTTTCTTTTGGGAGAAATATTATAATTTTATTAATAAAAATATAATTAAGACATCTATTAGTAACAAACAAGTTATAAGAATTTCATATCTTGCTTCATAGATTGTTCTAAACTCCTTTCAATGAAAAATGTTTGTCACATTATTCTTACGATTGAATTAAACATTTTACAAATTCACACCACTGTTATGGCAGAACTGATAATCTTATGTTTGTTATCACTTTCAAATACTCTCTCCAATACTTGCAATAATCTTTTTTAAACCAAATTAATTATTCTGGGAAGTCGACCGTCTTCCTTACATCCACATGTCTCCTAGCAGGACAAACATTACACTCGTTTAACATTCGTTTTAGAAGTACCACCTTCATGAGTAGTTTTAATGAAGTTTAATAAGTCCATAATTTCTGGTATACAGAATGTTTCTCACATAGGTCATTCATCAACGTCTTACAATTGAAACTAAAATCGGATTTAAATTTTCGACACGTAAAAAACATTATTGTTTCCTAAGCTCAAATTATAATTCTGTAAAAACAAAAAATATCGCATCTCTGTATATTTAGAATAATAATTAATTGTATATCCCCTATTGTTTAAACATTTTTATAATGTGGTTTTTTAATGTGTTAGTTAATGGTGACTACACCGAATTAGTTGCCAAATATTTTTATTTGTTAATTGAAAATAATTGACTCTTTATCTATACAGCGTACTCTCTGAGGGCTTGAGTTTTGTAGGTAATCAATTATAAGCTTTCTCCATTATATATAATTTGGTTAATAAATATTACTTTATTATGACTATAAGGCCACACTAATACCTGTTGGGCTTTGTTATTTTAATTCATAGACAATTTTAGCCAAGTTGTTTAAAATGGAGTTCTAATACAATATGTCACAATAATTTGATATTCAAAATGTAAGTATATAAAGTAGTACTACATAATTGCACTCCTGACTGCGGAATGTTGCATACTGCAGTTTGTAACTCGTTTATGACTATAATACTACATATTTTATTCCATGACACTAAAGAAATAAGATCATACATTTAATTAACGAAAGCATAACATCTTAATCTTAAAAAATTACGACATGTGCGACATACCGTGGGCGTTACAGTGTATTTTTTGATGTCCACGTATTGTTCAAAGCGACGAATATCATCAGACGAAGCGTCAATTTCCTTCTTTACTATTCTAAATTGTATAAAACATAAATAACACAGTCGTCGTGTTTGAATCATAAATTCAAGATTCGAAGTTCATCATAATACATAAAGATAGGTTAGACTTTTGTTTAAAGATGTTGACTTATTTCAGTTTGGACTTGACTACGAAACAAAATAGAATCGTTTTTACATTTGGGAAGAGATGATTTTAAAAGCATATGATTATTAGATACCTAATTAAGGCAAATTGTCTACTCTGTTGAATCAAAATGTGCTATAAATTGAATTAATGTATCTCGAATTAAATAGGTACCTAATAACGAATATCTGAGTTAGATACAGTAATAAATGGGTATCTACAATATTTTTTTTCTTTCAAATCATCTAATCCGAAATGAATATTTTCGATATCTATTATTGACATGAATTTAACTTATGTCGATGACTTTAGTAAGATTTTGATCTTACTAAATATTAGATTTAGAATCCATTAGGTTGTTAACCATAAACAAGATGACAGTTCTTAATACAAATACAGTACTGATATATTGTATAAATTCAATATTATATTCGAGTACACTTTTGAATAAAGACAACTTTAGACTCCTAGGTTATCATCGTTATCAAGTAATATTATTACAAAAAAATCTATTTTATACTTCGAAGATGAAGTCATCGGTTCCTACTTCCATATACTTAAAAACATTATTTTATACGATTAAGTAATGTTGGCGGGGTTCATGTACAATATATATTTACCTCAATTTTTTCTAGACTACACCAACTACTCTACTATCTAATATCATAGTTGTTATTTCATTATTAGAAGTTGAAACATAAAAACATCAAAGTAGTAATAAAAGAGTGTTAGATAACCTTGGAGTAGCTGGGAAAAGTCAAAGGATTCATTTCTAAATACATTTACGCTACTACACGAATGCAACAGAACGGGACAGTCTAATTTTGTACAATAACAGTAATAGAACACGGTTAAAAAAATAAAAATAATTGTAATTTGTTTACGATAGATCGCATACTTATTTAGAAATGGACCTTTTTCCCGTTGTCTTTAGTCTATTTATTATCTATTCGAAGTGATTAATTTTGATGCCGACTGACTGTTCTATGTAATTCGAAAATTGTATAAAATTCAGCATTGTAACATTTAGCCTTGTAAGTTATTATATGGAAACATTGTAAACGAATATCGAGATTTTTTTTTTTGTATATTTGTGTCTATGGTTCAATGAATGTAGTCTACGGTTGCTCAAGTTTGGTACTTTATTATTTAGACATTACTTACAATTTGTGGACGTATTAAATTGTAAATGTAAATAAATAAAGGTGAAGTTTATATATATTTGGGTTTTATTTTTCGTACTATTCTAGACTAGTAAATTCAATATGACCTAGACCTATCCTAGAAAGTTTTTATACCTAACCTAAAATTTTTTACCACCATTATCGATTTCAAATTTGAGTACCACTCTAATCTTAATAATTCAACTAACAACTTGTATAAGTTTTAATGCATAGTTGTGGTGGATTTTTGGGAACTTACGATAGAATATTTGCATACTCATGACTAAAATTTCAGACGATGTCAGTATTCAAAATCAGTGACGATGTACAGGGAAACTCGAATTGCTTATATTCATACGAAATACAACGTGTCTGTTAATCTATCACATACGGAATTTAATTTCAAATCTAACGAAAGTATTCGATGGCTGGATAAAGTATACTTGAGATTAGATATCATTATTAAAATATGAAAGTCATATTTCTATAATTATATAATATTTTTTTAAGCTAGTATTTGAGTCTGCTTCTCTACATGTATAATTCTATAATTATATCTAATTACAACCAATGAATTGTTGTCTCGTCTTACACCTTTTGAGATTGTACACATAGGAAAGGTTAGTTGATCGGTTTTCATAAAAAAAAGCAGATATTGGCATCCGAATGCGAACATTTCAAAGAAAATTACGTTTCATATATAAAAGGATATATCCTTAAATTTGCGAAGAGAAATATCTATCAGTAAAGATAACATGCAATGATATTCTGTAAAATTTCGCAGCTAACTTCACCTACATTTCCATCTGATTTTAATATTTTTTTAAGCTTTGGCAAAAGTAAAATTTATATTTGAAAACTAGTGGTAGTTAGTTTTTAATGTAAACAGAATGGAAACCGGGCGCGTGCGGTCGCTTTTATGTTTACTCTTTGTGATAACCTCTTAAAAAAAAAACAATTGCTTTATAAATGTTATATTTGTTACAAATTACATACATAGTACTACATAATCAATACAATGATAAAAGTACAGAACCAAAGATCGTATTGAAAAAAAATTGGAGCGAGTGTAAACTTGACGCCAGTTTAACATCTCTTTCTAATCAAATGTTCTTGAATATATTATTTTGTATTCACATTACAATTTACAATACATTTGAAGCCTTTTGAATCTGATGTGGGCCCAATAAAATGTGAAAACTATTTATGGCTCAACATAAATGTAACTAGACTAGATGTTAATTGAATCAATCACCGTTTTTTAAAGAATAAATTATTAAAAGATATATTATTGATATTAGTATATACATATATATTAAAAGTAATGTTTATATGTATATTTCTTATGTATTATGTATAATTATTTAAGTATGTTTTTTTGTAATTATGTCACATATTAGTACACACCTCTGCCCTTCATACGCTTTCTGTTTATACGGTAAAGAATAAATAAATATATTTATTATACGGTACATACACGGATAAATAAAAATCACTATACACCCGAACTCGAATCAGATTTTAGAAATTAAAATATTAGTATACCTAATCATAATAATTAACTAAACCAAAGTATATATATTCAAAGTCAAAATGAAAGTTATAGTTAAAAAAATATTTGCTCTAATAAAAATGGTGTGTAATCTATTAACGTGTAAACGTTACTATTGAAGATGTGAAAGATGCGTGAGCGCAAACACTGAAAGCTAAGCGAATGAAACTCCGTATAGCCATTGGCGTATTTAAGATTATTTTCCGGGCGTAGACGGGGAGGCGCTAGCCCTTTAAAAAAGGGAATATATACTTTCAAACATGCTTGCGAAGCTTTGTTGGCGCTTAAGATGGGCACCAAACGATTCTGGGATGAGCACGGCGTTCCCAACCTAACACTGAATACGACTGTTTCAATTTAAAATTCATAAAAAGGTCTAATAAATCCGTGTATTAACTATTGAAGTGCTTTTTCTTTAACGTTTGAAATAGTTCGTAGAAGTTTTTAATATATATTAATTAGAGAGTAAGGACCCCTATTCAAAAATGTCAAACGTCTTATAAAGCTATTGAAATGTTTTGCTATTTTATTTCCTAAATCCCTCTATAAAGGCAATACTATCGTTCTCTCGTTGTTTTTAGGTACATCAAAAAATTTCATAATAGAAGTTCGATAGCAAATATGCAGTTTTAGGTTGTCACAACTGTTTGCTCTTATGGTGTGAGTGAAGAAATATACAAAGAAGCCGCAGTTACACAATAAGTGAAACGAAGTTTGCTAGTTTCACTGTGTGGTTCGCACTTTAAGATCTATTTAAAGTTTATAAACAAAATGTCAGTATGATTTAACAGTACAAGGCGGTATGATCAAAATTAAGATATAAACACAGTTTTATATTTTCGCGTCTTTAAAATACTACAAGATACACTACCAAACATACAGACTCGTAACGAGCTTTATTTTCTCAATATTCGAAGCTTTTGATGATGCTCTTTTATAGTATAATATTTTTAGCTTAGTATAATCTAGTCAGATGTTTCTATCCTATGTGTATATCTCTAAAATAAATACAAGACATATTTGACACTGTAATAACATCCATAAGCATGTTATTGTTGAAATAATGTGACGAAACATTCCTATAATTTATAAATTAAAGTCGCAAATAATAATATTTAATTTTAATCATTAAAATAATCACAAATTCTTATTTTAACATACTAATGCAGTTAATTGCACATAAACGTTACTCAGGCACTCGTACATAGACACCTATTCTAGTTTACAAATAAGATATTGTTTAAACTGACAGCAACATCTTACGCAAACCAGCACGTAACAGTTAAAAAGAGACTTATGTTTTCTCCAAGTCAAACACTAGATTTATGTCAAATTTGGTTGACTACTAAGGCAAGAGATTTTAAATAAAGTTACTATCATATTTATAACATTATAATGAGAATAGTGAGCATTACAAACTAATTGCAGAAAAGCTGGATAGGACTATTGCTATGCAGTTATGGGCCCAGTGCAACTGGTAGTAATAAGTTACATTTTTTTACATTATCAAAGTTGCTCTGAAACATATATAGACACAGATACTATTATTAATAAATTATATTTAATTTTTTTAATACATTATCCAATTTGCTCTGAAATAAAGAGATTATAAATAACATTTTTTTTAATTATGTTTGCTGGTGTGACGATGGCGCAATAAATAGTATGAAAAATTTGGCAGTTGTTACATAGTACATCAACGTTTAATACGTAATTAGCTTAAAACCCCATACTATAAGAAAATAAAAAAATACTACTAATAAAAAAAAAACCTTTTGGCAATATTTTTGCTAAAAACATGTATATTCAGCCTTTTATTCAAACAATTTTGACAGAAACATACTCTTAAGAGTTGAAGTAATTAAATACTTAAAGTTTTAAATCATGTTTTTTTTTTGGATTAGTGTAAATTTTAACTTAAATATTTTTGAATTTAAAAAAAAAATAAAACCGACACTAAAATATTATCGTTCAAATTATGCGCCAATTCAAATTAATGATGTTTGTTGTGAAACAAGTCATTCATACAAATTTTATAAAAATATTATGTATAACGTGTTGCCTAATAATCGATTATAAAAGAGACGATTAATCAATATAATCAAAATAAGTGCTGGAATACTACTATCGATTAGTTGATTATCGATTATTAAGCACAACAAAATTAAATTATTCATAAACTAAACTTAAGACGTATTATAAATTTTTATTTAACTACATATATTGAAAAGATCAGCTTAATAGTTTAATTGTTATAGATATAGTTGTATATGTATATGATAACGTAATAATCCTTTTTATGAGGTAAAATGTGTTTCACTGCAAAATAAAACAGCAATTCAGGGAAAAGACCAAATAGCAGCATCTCGACATACAATTCCTTATTTTAAACCATTTTTTTTTTAATAAACATTCCATTCTAAATATTTTAATATAAGTAAATATATCAACGATTACAAAATGCATTGCATTGCATTGCATTTATCGACGGTTAATATTAAAGTTAATTATTTATTTAGAAACTAAGAATTTAGCTCGAAAAAAGATACAATAGAAAAACGAGTTTATATGGAAAAAACATGTTTAAAATAAACTCAATTTAAAAATACTCTTCAGCATAACTAAAAAAAATAGTCCATTAAAACTTTTAAGAATATTTATACATTATTTATTAATGATATATTATTATTATTTATATAATATAATTAGATAAATAATTATAATAAACGTTAACGTCAGGATTGATTAAGAAGTATTTTCAATTTTATGTAGGTTTTTTCTAGGTAGAAACAGATGGCGCAATATATCGCCCCCTCTATCCATCACGTGGAAGCTAAAAGAGATAGTATTATCTAACTGCAGTATTTATTCGGTAGAATGATTCATTTTAATAACACAATATATTTTTATAGGTCTCTGAAGTAATTAATAATAAAATAATCTGAAACTTATTTGACAAAAAATTATACGATTTTGCAAAAAAAAAAGTATTAATATGTTTTTGTAATTCATACATAATATGTAATGTCACATATAAATTCAGAACTGTCACACGCACACATGTGACAGTTTTGAATTTATATGGAATTGCAAAATTCACATATTTGTTATAATTTTAAGTTCAATTCAGAACTTTATTTTGATTAAATTAAATTTGATCAAAATAAAGTTCTGAAGTAAAAGTAAAAAAAAAAGTAAGAAAAATAAAGTTTTTTTTTTAAAAAAAAAATTTCTACCAATTCTCCCACCACACATTTTTGACAGTTCTAAAATGTTGCAATTAAACAGATATTAGATATATAGAATAATCACAGCATAATTACATGAAAATATGCATTTTGTGTGTGTTTTTTTTTTCTAATTTATTAAACCCAGGAACAGCATACACTAACTCAACTGCATTATACATATACAACTACTACACTTCGAAATTTAAAAATAATAAGAATTTATTTTGTTCATACTTCTGCTCAATCAGCTTCAAACTTATATTGTGTATTTTCTATATATGTTTTTCTCTTTTACACTGCCAGTGTATATACTTTATAAAAGTTTTAATACCACCAAATACGGGGCAGTATGCTATCAATGCAATTAACCTTTTCTATAGTGTCTATGATACTCGTGCAAGTATTTCTACTTTTACGAACATTGTATGACGTCGCCTAAAAAGAATAAATTTAGCAACAATGTAAAAAATTTAGAACTCATGTCGTCATATACTGTTGTATATTTTTAAGTATATTTATAAGGCTCAATAAATATTAACTAGAATGAAATACATACAGATTTAGAGCATGTTGGCAACACATAAACGCAATCGTGTGTGTGTATATATAAACACTTTAAAAAAGTAACTTTCAAATGATGATTACAATTAGGAACTGAATTATTTCATTTACATTAATATTTGAGACTTGATCCCGTCACGATCTTATGCGACTGACAAAGATAAAAATAATAATTTTATGACAATAAAAATAATTCTGCATATGAGACCTTAAATATAAAGATTAGGGGGGAAAAAAGGGATTGTTAGTAATGGAGACTAAGAATCCCATTGCTAATAATATATCCAACCAGGTCGACCTCCTCGCGGTTCCCCCTGGAAACTATCATGATTAATTCCTGATGAATTCATCATGATGGGATAATTGGCCTGTTTTCATCCTCATCGATCACCCTTCACTGGTGCCCCGCCAGCGTATCCCATTAGCGCAGGCGGGGTTACCACTCCATTTTCATCCAATAAAAAAAAATATAAAGATTGTTGAAATCTGCCATAATAATTAATATTGCAATATTAGTTCATTCAATATAAGTTCATAAACTGAGAATATAGGTACCGTGACCTAGACAGGTCTCCCTTGATCTATCTAATCATATACATAATACAAAATAGGTATTTATGTATAATTTATTGCATATTCAGCAACTGTAGTTAAGTTTGCCGACAGACAACTGAAAAGTAAACGCAACATGTGAGGGCTTAGTATGAAAATATAGCCATAAGACCGTGACAGGACTATTATCCTCTGCTATGAACATAATCTAGATACATTATTTAGATTATTATTTTTCTATGGTTAATTTTAACCTTTTCGTATCATTTTCGGATGTGGGTACATGGCTTTTTAGTATCGCGACTTGGTTTGGCGCACTCTGTCCGGTTACACCCGTAACTTGAGCAGAAGTGCTAGTGCTAGCTATCGGTTCTATTATAAATTTAGCATTCCTTTTGAGGGGTTTTACTAATCTCTTGACAACCGTTTCTGTATTCTGTGTAGTATTAATATTAGTATTACTTTGTTTTTGATTAGATAATATCTCAATTATCAAATTATTACTTTTCTTCTCCCGTTTCGGGCTCACTATAGGCATATTTAGAATATTCTGCGATGCATTTCGTTTGGGTGCGCCCTCTTGAGACGGCGGCACCCGCGCTCTAGTACTGCTACCCGTAATTTCTTTATTAGACGACACAATGGGTCTACGTTCGACCATAATTGGTATATTCGCTGTGTCCACGTTATTGTTATTTTTTATAAAATTTTTGAATGTATTCATAAAATTTGTATCACTGTTTGTTTGTTCAGTGTCCTGTTTACTCGTTACATTGCCGTCTCTACGTTCGGTTCCCTCTGTATTTTTCTTAATAATCATATTAATTTTATTTGCACTATGGTAAATTTTTGTGTCGACGCGCGTATTGTCCAAAATTGTAGGTTTCGTGTCTTTCCTTTTATCTTTATTGTCACGGGGCACTTCTTTTACGTTGACTTTGCCGTCTTTGTCTTTGATGAGCATGAATACGTCGCTGCCTTTAGATTTCGGTATAGCGCCATTGAAGCAATTGATAGCGGTCAATTTGTTCGCTATAAGCAGGGACAACTCGCCAATGTTGAACTCTGTTAGTAGGACGTTCACGTTGTTGCCGGAGTGATTGTCTATGCTCGGGTCGGCGCCATTTTCGATTAATATTTCGATGGTTTTTACATAATTGTCGGCCACTTTCATCATATTACCGCGATCTGAGAATAAAAAATGCGTTTCAGTTTTATATTACACAAAGTCTTCGTGCTAAGAATTACTGGAAGAGATCACTATTTAGATACATTGTTGCCTCTTTATCTTATTTTTCGTAAAGCCAGCATTGTGCTATAATTAAAACAGTTTTATATCTACAAAATTTTATGACACTATGTCTTTCTTAGATGAGAACAATCAAGGATTCCCTTTCATCCATTTATCAAATAATATAAACTAACTGTCCCCTACGACTTTGCCCGCGTGAATAAGTATATAAAATATATAATCTGTTAAGCTATAACCTACCCTTTTACGAAATTTCATTCAAATCTGTTCAGTAGTTGTTACATAAAATAATTATTTTTATTTATTTTATTTAACTCTTTACTGCACCATAAACAAAAATATACAATGACAATTGAACAATTCAAGTGAAAGAATCACAAACATCTATACATAAATCTCCACAAGCTTCCACATTTATAATATTAAGAGGATTATATAGAAACCGAAGTGGCAAAAATAAAATTAATAATATAAATACTTACTACTGGCGTCCATACAGGCAGCACCAACGGCCAGGTACAGAGCGGTGTCCCCACTGTTGGGCATCTGGAGGTTGACGGACGACGGCGCCATTTCCACTAGGGCTTTCACCGCTTCGTAGTTGCCTGTCTTGCTGGCCAGCATCAGGGGTGTGTAGCCTGGGGGATATTGTTTTAACATCAAAACTGTTCAAAATTCCGTTGCACTTGCTTACTTTGTTTTTAATATAAATATACAATTTTTAAACGTCCTCAAAGTCAGTTCTCAATTGGTCTGTTTTTACCATTTTTTTTTTAAAGCACAATATTATCGGAGTATCATATTTTATACTACAAAACAGGGATTTTGGTATGGGAGGGTAGGGTAGGCCGTGATCACCGCAAATCTCTGGTGCCCATCCTATGATGCGAGCGGAACTTTAAACTACGCGCAATGATATATATGAGTCATCATCATTATCATATCAGCCGTCAACTATCCACTGATGAACATAGGCCTTTCCCTATTGGGGAGTTTTGTCAATAATTGTCGCGCTTGGCAATCGGGTTGGCAACCGCAGTTAGGCGTTTGGTGATGTTTAAAGAGGGACGCTGCTGCGTATCCCTCGACCATTAAGTTCCCTTAGTCGCCTTTTACGACACTCACAGGATAGGAAGAGTTGGCCCATTCTATGCCGGGATAACTGAAAGTGCATACTAGTAATCATGCCCTTTTTTAAGGGGCCAGGCTCTCTTTTCGAAAATTATCTTAAATACTCCATTATGGTGCGTAAGTAGCACTTTATACATCTGACGCTAAGAGGCTATCCATAAAGCCTTACACTTCAATCACTTGTCCCTAGCAACGTTTCATTTTCATGTTATCGACTACTGTGACATGAATTCATAATTCAAAATACTCAGTAATTCCACTGAGTTGAAACTTAGCATGAAAAAAAGCAATTTGCAATAAAAATAGGTGACATAGCTTTGTAAAAAGAACCGGGCTGTCCACGTCGAATTATACGTACACCCACAAAGAAAACAGTCGACAAATATCAATCGCTGCCCCATAAGAGATTTATAGTCGTGAATATATTTATTTTATTAATATAGTAATCACCTTGATTATCATTCATCCTACTCAGTTTGTTGAACAAATATTGAACTAATTCCTCCTTGGCCTTATTCTCCAGCTCCGGTCTCCAAAACTCCTCATTTTCATTAATAATCCGCCTGAAAAAAAAATAGTTTAATACTGGCGATATAAACTTATATAACTGTGTATATATACAGGGTGTAAGCGACAGATTGGCAAAAACGAAACAGTGAATTCAGATCATTGTTCTGAACTGACAACTAGTAGAAATTATTTCCGGAAAATTTCAAACTTTTCTCTATTTTTTCATTGAAAAAAAAAAGCTATCTAACACCTGTATATATATGTCATGTATATTGTTACATAATTAACATATTTACATTATTGTATTAGATTAGAATCTGTAAAAATAATGATAAGTGTAGATATAAAATATATAAATAACTATATACTTTTTTGTAATCTAAGTGATGAAATTATGTAAAAGTCGTAAATTTCATTATTATACAAGTCTATACTTAAATACTACACATGTTTGTGCATCCATATTCACTTACATAAAAAATATAATTATTTATATTATCATATATATGTCTTCTTACATATTATATGTTATAGAATTAATTATAATTCTATTTTGTCGTGTTTAAAAGTATGCGTTCGGTGCTCTCCTTATCTTTATATCATTTACTTAAAATGTAACGTCTGTTATCATTATACTTACTTATAATGTAAACAGTATTTTGGTTTCTCAAATTATTTTATTTGTAAAGTATATTATACAATTGTTAAAAAACTAACTATAACAAATAAATATTTTAGGTTAGGCAACGCGCGTATGGCATCGAGACCGCTATAGCTAATATGAGTAATATAAATACACCTATTCCCCGATTTACACGGTAGATACATTCCTGAGAAAAACGTGTAAATCGAAAATTAAAAATTTTCAAGTCAAAACCGTGTAAATCGAAAAGCTTGCAGAAAATGCATAATTTTGCTATTTAACAGTTGTGATTTTTTTCAATATTTTTTGGTGTACACAGAAATAAAAATAAAATGCATTGACAGGTTAAAATATGTAATATATTACGGAAACACTGTTTTTTATTTAATTACAATACATTAAACTGAAAAATTAAATCTTTCTGACACTGTGAAACTTTCACTCAAATACAATTTTCCGTAGATAAAACTTTAATTTTATGCGAAGAAATACAGACACAGTGTGCATGTGCAGCAAGTCAGCACATAAGCTCGGGATTCCCCGTGAGATGTGTACACAGCGCAAGTGTTCAAACACAGTAGCATTTAGTAGAGTGCGATAAAAACAAAAAAAAAAAATCTTATTTGGAAAACCGTGTAAAAGCGAAAACGTGTAAAACAAGTTCCGTGTAAATCGGGGGATAGGTGTATAAGCTATTAGGTCACACCCCATCTTAGTTAATTTTTTATGAATTTGTCACTATGGGCCAACTGACCTGCTCTCAAATTCATCTATTATCTCTCTCTAACCTCGCCAATGTAGAGAGAGAGAGAGAGAAAGTATGCGGCATGTATCGAACGCTATTGCATCTTTCACTGAACTCGTTACTAGGATTTTGACATTTAAATATGGAATAACTTTAAAATTTATTTAAAAATAGAACCTAGAGTAAAATTTTGAATATATCCGTGGTATGGGATTATTTTTGTTTTATAAGTTTTGAATAGAAACAAGTTTAAGCATCCTTTGACAGGAATGACAAACGTTTTGGAAATATTGTAGTGCTTCTACGACGACCTTAGATGAAAATAGTTGCATCATTGTTTGTAGTTTGTGTATACGAAAAACTTTGGCATTTATAAGCGTCAAGCTTCACGAACTATTTTAGCTGTCTATATATAATCATGATCGTAGTAGATACCTAATAAACGCTTTATACGTCGCGGGATTTCCCCGGTTCTCAATAAACTTTGATTAAAAAGATAAAAATGCATAGTAAGGGCATGCATTTTTATCTTTCTTTTGAAATCATAAATCTAAACCAGTAAATCAACTCGTGTATTGAGGCCATGTGTAATACAAATCAATGTATTGCATCAACCTCATGCCATGTCAGTATATACAAGTACTATCCGATAACATGTCCGCCCCTCGTATTTATCAACAATTCAGATAAAAACAATTATTAATTTGTAATGGAACAAAAAACGTTCAAAGTTATAAAGAGTGTTAGCTTTCCCCTAAGACTTATCAGACTCACCACTACTTTTCAGCATTTACGTCTATGATTTTGACTATAAAGGCCTGTGTATATAGGAAGGAGAATGTGAATCCGGCTTACTTGCCATTAACTGTCCACTGCTGAACATAGGTCTTCCTCATAAGGATAGTTTTGCCGGGCAGGCAGGTTGACAACTGCACTTTTTTTATTATTTTATTTTGGTACAAACAGTCATTTCAAAAAAATATACTAAAATTTTGTTTATATTATATAAAAATAAACAACGAGTACCGAAGTATATACAATAATAGAAATTTATGTAGTTAATTAAGGCCTTGGTGATGTTTTAAGAGGGACGTTAGTGCCCATACCTGGATCATTAAGATCCATTAAGTTTGGTCTTATGGCAATCACGGGAAAAGAAATGGTGACCCATTATATGCCGGGACCACACTGCGAACTTACTTCTATTGTCAGTTTCATTAGAACTAAAGGAAAAAGTAGCCAAGGTTTATTTGAATAATCACAGAAACACTAAACGAATTTAGTAACAAATCGAAACATACAATTAAATCGTTGATTTTTAGTTTCTTCTTTCTATATTGTATATCTGCAGACTGCCTCATAGTCGAGCCAAATAATTAATTAATAAACTATTAACATTTTTATTTAATTCTATTGAAAAAGACGACAGGAACGGTTTATTTCTGCTACAAAACTGCTATGTTTTCATTAGTGAATTTTGGATTAGTGAAGGCTAGGTAGAATATGACAGTGAAAATAGTAAGCACAAGTACAATAATCCCTAAATTCTTAACTCTATTTATTTTATTGCTTTTATTTACATAATAAATATAATAGTCACGAAAGACCATAACTATTTATAAACCTATAGGTTTGAACGGTGTGGACTGCCGTTCGGTGAGCGTGGACTGTGGGGGCGTTGGTTCAGGCTGGAGTGAAACACAGCGATTACTATTCTGAAGCCTCCGGTACCGTCTGAAGAGAGTATTTTTCCTTCTTGTCCTATTTCTTCTCGAGTGTAGTGCGTCGCTGCTCGGAAGCGAATGCCGCTCGACGGGAGGCGGCCTATCTTTATACCCGCCCGCTCGCACGATAACATTTCTAACTTGCGTTAGCGAATCTGTGCGAGCGGGACGGGGCGAGAGTGAACGAGACGCGTGTCTCTTCAGATCGGTACCCTATAGCGTCTATTTATTTATCACAATTTACAATTTCTTATTTGTTTTTACAATTTCTATTTCTATTCGCAGGTAATAATAACGACACGTAATGAATGCTTTATTTGACTTACACTATAGGTATCTTAAATCTATGTAAAATCTATATAAAATAACAGTATACAAAAACGATTAAAACTAGGGACTTAACAACTATAAATTACGATTACATATATACAAATAATGTCGCGAACAAGGTTTCAAATTTTATCACTGGCTGGCTGTAATAAACACTACAAACGCAGTCACAATGCACCAATAATCAATCAAACGTACCGCGAACAATGTGTCGTCTCGTTTTGCTGTTGCGAATCTCATATTGCGGGAAAGAGACAAGACGATTGCCGTTCCGTTTTACGTATCCGCGGTATAGAACTAGTAAGAGACTTGCAACTATCGATAATTTTCACGGAAAATAAGTCTTCAGAAGAATATAATTTTCTTTATTCAAATTCAAAAATTAAAACATTTAATCACCTTTTTTAGCGATCTAAGAACAGTAATATTCGTGAGTTATTATGAGTATTTTTGTATTTTCTATGATGATTTTGACGGTGATCATGTTACGCGATGGTTACCACTTTTCAGCATATGGATAAATAACCTGTTTTCCATTCCCAACTATGAAAAAAATTACATGACTTGTATGAAGTAATACTTTGTGTTTCTGCCGTAAAAGACAATGCGTTGGTTGGGTCAATATATGTGATAACAGTTAGAGATAAAAAAAGGACGTGTAACGTACGACACCTCAATCCTTATGAGTATCAATGTAATGTATCACAGGACTGTGGTCTCAATCGCGAGAACAGAGTCCATCACGCCGTGGACGTTGGGTAGTACATTGTGTTATGTAATTTAATGATATTGCTTACATCCATATACCAATATCATTATTTTCCTTCAATCGGCAGTTAGCTTGTTTATTAACTACCCTCATATAACATATGAAAAAACTTACATAGGATTTGATTGACAATAATTGATAATCGCTCTCAAGTGATCAGATTTCTCTTCAGCGGCGAGATGGATGCAGGTTCGATCCTCGGAATCGGCAACGAGAGGATCGGCCCCAAAGCGGAGCAGCATAGCTGTGCATTCTGGAAATGGCCGGTACAGCGACAGTTGTAGAGCAGTCTGTAAAGAAATCAGTTGACTTTAACAAAAAACTAAGTAAAATAAAGATTTATTTACTCATAGCGTAAATAATTAAAAACAGTCTGATGGCCTTTCTGATGGAAAGTGATAAGTGTAGTCTATAAATATGACATCATAGAATACCAGCTCCCCATTTTACCCAATGCGTTGGAATTTCCGAGGACTAATCCGCACTCTGTAATTTCATGGTTTTACCCTACCCTTCGAAGAAAAACATTTTTATACAAAGTTTTTCTTTGGTGTATTTTTATGAACTCAGAACCTATTGTTTCTTTATATTTGTTTCTGTAGAATAGAAAAAAATAGATAATTTAATTTAAAAATATGTACAAAAAAACTACGACGAGAAAATCTTACAAAAATCATAAATACAGAGACATAATTAAATAGTTCCCAAAATATTATATTATACCATACTTTTTTTTCTATATATGTATACATCAGCCATACAAATAAAGTCTGATAGATATTTTACAAGTCGATACGTGATTCATAAGAATTGAATGAACAATTTTATATACGACGGATATTCGCCACACATTTCTGAGAATGACTGTATGTATTCCTCCTTATTTATAAAATCGTCAAACTATGGAAGGTTCTTTATTTCTACTTAAATTCTTAATATGAAAGAGGCACAAGAAATTAAAAATTTATAATCAGATAAGAATTTTCCGAACCGTTTAACTAAAAAATCTGTTTTATTGTATGAACAATAAGACAAACTAAGTTTAGATAACGTAGTAATACTACAGGAGTCGATTCTAAAATGTCTTAATACCTTAGTCTATATCTAGGAAGAAAATTATTAACAGTAACGGGTATCTCCATCCATAACATCCATCGCTAACAATATGAAAACAGCTGAAACCATCGTAGTTATTGCCTTATGAATTCGCCACAATAACGTAAGTGACCGTATAAATCTATTACGCAGTCGGGGTTACCATTTCATTTTAAAATATATCCATTTAAAAATCCTATCTCTAAAATTTATATTTTAAATATAAACTATTTCAATAAAACTAATAAAAAGGTAACAAATTTTTGTAGATATTATCAAACAAGAAAAAACTAAAAAATAAGAGAAACAAGAAAAGAAATAAGTAACAAGTCTAAATATGTAATAATCTTTAAATTATACATTTAACTGTCATATGACCGAGTCAATTATTCGTTTGTTACAATTTTCATTACGTTTTATTGAAACAAACTGTAGATAGTTTAGCAAAGTATTATAAATCTAACACAAATTTATTTTTATTAATTACAGTTTTTAATTTTACTATTAATATAAGAGAATTGCACCTGAGAATCAACGTCAACCCCATTATCTCTGATTCACATTCTTCAATATTCATTTTTAAGTGATTCATATTTTCCCGCAAAACAGTGTTTCATCATTGCAATAATTGCAAAATATAATGGCTTGTTCATATAAATAAAATATGTTGGCTTCGTTTAAAGGACAAGTCAAATCACATTTTCTTTCACTGTAGTTACTCTTTTCCACTCCTTTGTAATTTTTGGACTAGATTTGTCATATTTCCTTGTGTGTGCTATGTATGTATTTATATGTGTATGTTTATGTATTTTGTATGTATGTTATATGTGTATATGTATGTATATATATATGTATGTATGTATGTGTATGTGTATGTGTATGTATGTATGTATATATATTGTTATAGTAAGTAGTTTAATAAATTATATGTATTTGATATTTTTGTGCATTACATGTTTTTGTATTTTGTGCACGAAAATTGTTGATTCACTCTTGCGCCACCTGCCCTTTTCTATCTGTTCTCCCTTAACTAAAGGTTGTCTGTAAGAGATTGCCCTAGTGATAAGACCGCCTTTTGTACCTTTATGTGTATATTTCAATCTGTATTTATGTTACTGTATTTCATTTGAATTATTCACTTGTCATTGTATATTTTTATTTATGGTGCAATAAAGAGTTAAATAATAATAATAATAATATTGTAACTATTATATTCACAACTTTCTTGTTCACCAAACTATGTAAATATATGAAAATATAAATGTGACGGACTTTAAAAAATATATTCCAGTAACATGCAAAAAGGACATAGTTCATTCTTTATAACTTAAAAAGTTTGTCCTCTAGATGTTCTTTCGACTCGACATGTCATTCTCTCAGTAGAAATACTCTTTAGAGACCATGATAATCCTCACCTATCATCCTTCATTGATGCCCTGCTAGAGTATATCCACAGCGAAGATAATGTTACTACTCTATTTATCATCAATTATTTAGCCCAGGATGTTATCCATATTTATATAGAAGTTACAATGGTTTGCATCTTGTCTGCTTATTTGCTATTTCATAATTAAAAAAAAATTAAGCGATAAAAATTTAACATTTAAAAGAGCATGAAGATGTCATCATCTTCATGCGTAATACAAGAATAATCTGCTTTGAGAAAAAATTGCATCTATTGTATAGTGACAAAAATTAAGAAGTATAAAACCAACAATATCCCCATCGATTGCATCAAAATCTACCTGGAAAAAAATCAGATATTACAGGGATTTGTAAAATATAAAATCAATCTAGATATGTGTCACAGCAGGGTGATTGATATCAGCGAAGATTATTTATTAAAGGTACTACCCCTAATCTATGTTTAATGATAACAATTATTGGTAGCATTATACTGCTATTGTTATTTATCTATATATGTAAATAAAAATAAAATTAAATTTGTTGATAAATGTATAACTTGCGAAGGCCAAGACCATTTTGGTGTCTTTTTCTTTCTATCTGTCAAATATATAAAGCGGTCAGGTGCGAGTTACACTTGCACGCCGAGGGTCGTGTACATACTCGTAAACATGAAATAAAATTACCATAATTCAATTTCTTGTATAAAATAAACACTTAACAATTATTACTTCTGGATATAATTGGATTGGATTTGTGCCATAATTGTGCTTAGAAATTAGACCTCAAAACTAAGTTGTGTTAAGAAAAACTAAGAAAAAATCTTGGTTTTTCTGATAATGGACCAATAACATAGTGATATCAAATTTCAAATCGATAGCATTAGTAGCTGCTGGGATATAGCGCTGTGATAGGCGTACGAACTGACCGAAGAAGTCGCACCATAAAGATTTCCTTTGTACATTTTGGTATGGAACCCTAAAAACAATGGTTAACGAGTAATAAATGTCATATAATTCATAAATAATTATAACAATTAAAATAAAAATTTTTGAGAACAGAATTTTGAATTATTCATAACGCAAATAATTGTGTCACGATTAAAATAACATTTTTTGAGAACAGAATTTTGAATGATTAATATATTCATAACCCAAATGGTCTTTCCTCGTCTAATCTCAATTTCCTTGAAATTTAATCTGTACTTATACTCGTAAACAATCGTAGGTTTATTCGATGGGTGTGTAATTTTTTTTATCTAGAAATTTAAACGGGAATTCCAGTTCATATTGAAAAAATAAAATGCTTTATTTGCACCAACATTACGTACATATGCATATAACTTTATAGTATAAGTATAACAAGGCGGCCTTATTACTGAAAGCAATTACGATACATACTTTCTGGAATATTTCATTAAAAATATGGAAATAAATATATTTAGAATAACGTTTATCTACAATCAATACTACTATCTGTCTGTAGATAGAGACGAGAGACTAGAAAAAATAAAGACATCATAGATGATGACTTTATTCGGGAATTCCATGACGACACAATGTTTAAAAAGTTAACAACATTTATCTTTTTTTTTATGCAACTTAGTATGGCAAAACAAGCTAACGGAAAACCTTTCCTCATGGAAAATGGTAACCGTCGCCTTTAGACATGAACAATACTATGAACATAACAGAATATACTGTGTACCCTATGATACCCTTCATGCGTTGCTAATCTTGAGGACTAAGGTGTTATGCCTGTACCATGTAATTTATCCCACATAGAGCAATGAAATTAAATATTTTTTTTTTATACCACAAAGGTGGCAACAGCAGCATTCGAATGGACAGAGATACCCAAGCAGATGACTTTTGTACAAAGTGAGACTTGTACAATTCGAGCGGGATCCCGCTGTAACTGTAAACTTATCGCAAATTTTCAAAAAACAAAGGACTTCAAGATTGCAAACTCTAGTACCTATACCTATAACACGAATGGTATTGGGAGGAATACAGTATAATACATCACTCTTAAAAAATAAGAACTAATATAAAATTCTATTTCAAGCCTGGCCAGCAATGTTTATATTTATCATCATCACTGCTAGGGTTGTTGTGAATGAAATGGCAATAACCTAGATTCATTCTATTAACAGCTACCTACCTTATTAACCTTGCAATGGTATATCGTCATTATAATGAAATCACCACTATAAGAATGGCGATCTGACGTAAGCAACATGACGAACTAAATTTTTTTTATAACACGGGAGCAAACAAGCATGCAATTAAACTGATGGTGATTACCGCCACCTATGAGCACCCGTTTTTTGGAACCTATCTATACTAAGTAAATATATAATTATATTAACTCTAGGCGTCATTGAAGTTATTGTCTCTTTAAAATCTGACTGATTGATAACACAAATTTTTAAAAGTACAGATAATTTAACACGGAACAAACTTGAATCCGATGTATCATTGTATCATAATGGAGCTATTTTACCAACATTGATTAGGTATAGGTACGATTAGTTAGATGGAAATATGACGAGTTATGGAAGTTATTGTCCACACTGTTCTTCTTTATCTATTTAGCTCCCTTAAATAAGTGGCTTTTTTCGTACGAATACTAGCACTAGACCAATATGCAGATAATTCTATCAGATAAGTCTATATTTTAAAGAGAAAAGATTCGATTTTTTTTGTTCGTTTGTAATTAATAAATTCAATAACGATTTAACCTAAATTATTTAACGAGTAACATAGGCTAACATATTATAAAAAAAAAGTAACGATCCCTACGAAAATTACAATATGATTCAAAATATTAAATATTTGCCTATTAAAGCTAATATAAAATACTAATTTATCTTTCTATTTATCTACCCGTGCAAAGTCGGAGCCGATCACTTGTAAGTATGTAAATTGGACTCTTCCGCGCTTAGCCTCTTATTTGGGCCGTTGTGCGTATGAGTCGTGGCTAGTACAGCCAACCCAGCTCCGTCCACAAGCACAGAAGCTTCCTAGGATCTTCACAGGCCTCACGGAGCGACCCAGGCGTTCAGAGGATTTCTAAACGTTGATCGGCCATAGCTTCACATTCCAGGATTACGTGAGTAATCGTTTCTTCGGCGTCGAAACAGTCTCAACATAGAGGGCTTTGGTTTTGTATGTCAGCAGATCGATGACGAATCCATATTCGAAATTGTGAGAACGGAAGAGAAAGAAGTTGATACGGGCCTATCACCCTCGTTCCTGAACCTCTTCTAGCTAGTTCGTCTGCGGTATCGTTACCATAAGATCCACTGTGCCCTCTTATCCAGTGATCGGTGGCATTCAATTATTAATTTGTTGTTTGTCTTGTTGTTTGGTAGTGCTTTTAGTACTGCTGCGCTGTCAGATAAGAATCTAATGCCAATACCATTTATTACTAGCTTATGTACAACTGTAGCAGCATCATTTATTGCAACACATTTGCATTAGAATATTGAGCTGTGTACGCCAAGCGGTGTGCATGTTTATATTAAGATAACATTAGTATTATAAAGTGGTAAATAAATTGGATGGAAATGACAAATATGACTTCTAACATCAGCTTACGATTTAGTTTACTATCACTACCAAAAAAATTCGCTCATAAAATCTGCGTAAAGAGTTTAGATTATATTAGATTTTTTTTTATACAACTTAGAATGGCAAACAAGCTGACGGTCCACCTGATGGAAAGTGGTAACTGTCGCCTATAGACATGAGCAGTAGCATGGACATAACAGAGTATACTGTTTCGCCCATGATACCTCCCATGCGTTGCCAGTCCTGAGGACTCAGGTGTTATTCCTCTGTACCCAGTAAATTTACGCCATACAACATCAAGCCTCAAAAACGCGTCAACTTTTTGTCAGCTAATTGTCAAATTAGCTGACTCGTTTTTTATTAACGTTCTATACTCTTACGCATACAATGTATCTTGGCGTATCCATATTTAATTATTTAATAAATAAAATGAGTTTTTGCGCATTAAAAGTGAAGAATTTATAAGACAAAATAAATATAGAAGTTCTAAAGGAATCACTCATAACTATTTATCACGCAAAATTGTATGAAAAAGTTGACCCACTTTTCTCGAAGCATTTGTATGGAGACTATCTATATAATCTAAGGAGTAACGCTTCATTCCGCATTATATCACCATATGTATGAACGTCATACGACCTTCTATAAATACGTACTAGCGGCCGGACCGCCTTCAGTCAGGTAAAATTATTTTTTTAGTCCATATTACGCACAAAGTGGTTATATTGTAAGAAAAAAAAACAAGAGATGTCTGCATTTGATATGTTATACCTGAGGAGTTGGGATCTAGACCTCAGAAATACAATGCAATGGATTTTTTTTTTTCATACATCATTAATATACATATAGCTGCTGCTTGGAGGGAAGGAATTGTTAGTAATGGGGTCTAACTGAGCCGTTGCTAGCAATACACCCTATCAGGTCGACCTTCACGTGGTTCCCCCTGGAAACCATCATGGTTAATTCTAATGGAATGCGTCACGATGGGCTAACTGACCTGCTTTCATCGTCACCTATCATCCCTCACTGGTGCCTTGACAGCGTATACTGATAGCGCAGGCGGGGTACTATTCCATTATCAGACAAAAAAAAATAGCTGCTGCTACAAAATTAATATGGGACAACATGTATTCGTAAATCTAAATCGTAGAGAACGTAATCGCGTAACACACACACGTGTGTGTATATATATAAATTGAGAACCTCCTCGCTTAAAAATTTTATATCATTGGCAATAAAGAATATATGTATATAGTGTGCCAATCAAGGCACCTCAATCGCTCGTGCTTTGCAATAAGAAAATGCAATAGATATCATAATTTTCACATTGCTTACATATGATGAGCGATTTTAATCAAGTTCAGAAATAAATTTTTCATAAAATAAGATTTTTACAATTTTTAAGCTGAATTACATGATTATTTTAGCACATTAAAAGTATTTACTTACGTCAATAATAAAATTAATGTCATACTATTGCTATTAGTTATTGTAGTACAAATTGTTAAAAGATAAATTATACAAACACACGCACATTGGGTGATTGATAAATGCACTATTCGCTTTGTTTACATGCACTGCACAAATAAAATACTGCGTATATTGTGTTGTCAAATGTCAGTCGTGATTGTGACGCATTTATGTTACAATAAACAATATATTACGTATTTAAGCAAATGGCACATATTAGAATTTCAAAAGGAAAAACTTTTCCATTCGTTTACATTTTTTATCTGTGGACGCGATTACGTCGAATTCTCAATCGATTTTGATGATTTCTTCTGCAATTGATTGCGTTTACTTCCACGTTGATCCCATAATATTTTAAGACGACTAAAGCCGCTATTCTTCTGCTCATTACGATGCAAAATCTACTAGTAGACACACGATTTCTAATTTCAAATGTTTTGAATCTAATATGTATATGTAACATCTTATCGTGCGATGCTCCGTAATATACTTTATCTGAATGTATATTTATATAAATAATTATGTTATCTTTATTAAGAATTAAGAGTTTAATGTGTGAGTGTAGTAAGTAATTGTGATAATATGATAACAAAGAAATTAATGCCCGAAAAAGACCTGTGAAATTCCACACATAGAATCTGTGCAGCCGAAATAGGCACAACGCCTTCAATATAGCTAAGGTACATATTTAAGAATGTACTTATACACAATTGATTACTAAAATAGCAATGCTACAAATGAGTATCTGTCTATAGCTAAACACACACAATGTATATACGATCATAACAAAATAATGTAGGAAGTAAGCCCTCAAAGGTGAACCAACCTTTTTGATTATAAAAAAAAAATATTTTTTATGAATATTTAAATTAAAAATACTAAAAATACAATTGTGTTTAAATAGATTAAATGTAAAAAAAAAAATGAGAAATACGGAACGAAAGTACATGTTTGATGTAGGATGCCCAACGTCAGTCATTCAAACGAAAAAATGATAGATTTTAATTACAATTGTAAATATTTGGGAAACTAGGTACTTATATATGATTCTCAAGTATAATCCATTGATTGATATGTTTTTATCAGAACTGATAGGCGCAAAAAAGATAATTATAAGAACTACCAATAAAATTATCCTATATCGAAAGTAACCTTAGTTTCGATTCCGAAATATTGGGAATGACTATAATACGAAAAAAGCAGAAATTTCCAATACGAAATAAGTAATAAGGAGAAAATTATCTCCGAAAATAAATAATTGTGTTCCAAAAAAAAAAGCAAACTATCCGATATATCCAACATACTGTCCTTCTTTCATATTCAATTACAATTACAATTAAATTTTCGCAATAAATGTGTCCTTTTTCTTACGAATTCCCGAATCTTTTTAAACTCCTTTTTCTACTTGCAATGAGACCTCCATACTTATTATCAGGCCGACTTCAATTTTGGCAAAATTTGTAATTTTGATTTATAAAACTTTATTGAACCGATTGTTATTTTATTAAAAATTTCTATGGGCCCAATCTGTAAGTAAATTTTTCTAATAATAAATTATTTCTTTCTTTCAGATAGAAAAATAATTTTTCAAATTGGTTTACAACTGACAGTTACAAAATACGACGGAATTCAGAATCTGCTTCTTTCTGAAATCAGTTGAAAAGTCGAATTTAACAGACAAAATGTGGATAATTTTCTCGGTCATAATACAACCCACTACACACTACATTTGTGTGATTAATGTGATTTATCATACCTCGCACACCAGAAATAAAAAGTGCGATTACAAATTCCCATGGAACGAAAATAATCTCACAAAGTTACGCGAGAATTCTAGAAAACTATAAAACTTACTACTATACATTTCATTCGTAACAAAACACAATAATGAACTAATGAATGAGTATTTCAGGCTTCTGTGAAGATAGCGTTTGGGAGCTCCTAATAGAATATGGCGACTAGAAGAAGTAGGAGGAAGGTTAACTCTTCCGAATCCCACTGTAACGATTTTAGTACCACAGTACGATATATACGAATGAATGACGATATTAAAATATTAATAGTTTACATATTTAGCTCATTAAAAGTGATTAATATGATATTATACGAGTATTATATATGTAAACGTTCACACTAGATTGATAACCTGAAGCGAACACCAAGCGCAATGACAAGCATTGGTCGGTGTTAGCACACCCCTATCATAACTGTTATATTATTAGCGTCTGGAGCCATATTTCAACAACGTTTTAAATTTATTTATTTATTTTACACTTTATTGTATGTATATATATATATATATATATTTAATACCACTCATACAACATAAGAGAATGACGAAAGAAAATGAAGAGAGAACACAGGAAAATACTAAAAGGAGAGAGTAGGATTACCGAGGTTTTAATGAAAATTAGTTATTACACGAACTTACCCAAGTGAAGTTTTATCACAATTATATGAAGCGCGAAGTATAATTAAGCATTTTTAGACCTCATCCAACGTGACGGATAGAAGGGTGAAAAGAATTGTTAGTAATGAAGACTAGCAACTCAACAAATGTCTGGCTTAACTATAAAAACTCATTAAAACAAATTACGTACCATATTTTCAGCTGTAACGTCAACGGATTCCTGCCTCATCTTAAGGGCTAAGCATTGTCTTCTTACTAAATCTACGTCGCCGTTCTGAACAGCTAAATGTAGAGGCCTGTAAAAATTAAATACATTATTACTTGTCACTTCCGCATCACAATTTTTTTTTTAATTTTATACCATATTTGAAATCTAAAGAAGGCTCTTTAGTAGTAGTAAAATGAGTAGAAGCTTAGGCAAGCTACTACTAATTTTTTTCGTATCTTTCCTGTTTTTTAAAAGTAATGAAATACAAAGAATCAGTAACAGTATTATTTTTAGAATGATTAAAATTATAAGACAACATTAATGTATAATTTCTTTATAATAAATAGGAATTTTCATAAATTGTTTTACAAAGGTGGTAACAGAATTTAATTTTTAATACCTACGTACACTCCAACTAATATACAATATTATTGTAATATAATTTTCGCTGTCTATAAAATCTAGCGATAAGAATAAAATTCTAAGCTTATATTAATACAGTTATAAAACATTTTTTTTTTCTAACTAAGTAATTGTAGTCTCTTTTACTTCAATTTTAATCGTAGATTATGAAAGGTTAATAAATTGCCCTATTGTTGGCAGTATGCCAACAATAGGGAAATTTAGAAGATATAGAAGAATATCGAGAAATAGAAGATAGTCTTTAATTCGAATAATATTAATTTAATGACGATTAGACGAACAGTTAAGACAATAAGACGTAACAAATCAAGAAACAAACCTACATGTCTAAGTCTCGCATAATTATTGGGGAATAATTTTACATGTGTAAAATATGATATAGTTAAATATTCGTCTGGCGTGGTGATGGTACATATCGTTGTCGTGCCAAGCGGACATGTATCAAATCGAGTTCAATGTCCTGGGGCCCCCTGTTACCACCGCTGCCGCGCCTACAATTTGCGCCGTGTACGCACATAGCCTAAAAGTAAATTCATGAAATGAGATGTAGCTTTTTATTGGATGAAAATAAAGAATTTATACCAGTGAGAGACGATAGATTCACCAGCACTGGCATATTTAAGTTTCTCTCTTTACTTGGGTCCTGGGGTTAGCAAACGATTTTGGAGTGGGCATAGGAGAAGCGGTCGTCTCTATTTTACGTCTATCATCATCATTATCTTTATCATCATCATATCAGCTTTTAATTGTCCATTGCTGAACATGAGCCTCCCTCTTGGGGGGTTTTGCCATTAGTTACCACGCACGGCAGGCGGTTTTTTTTTAATGGATGACAATGGAATGGTAGCCCCACACGCGCTATCAGTATACACCTGCGGAACACCAGTGAAGGATGATAGGTGAAGATAAAGCAGGTCAGTTAGCCCATCGTGACGAATTCAACAAAAATTGTTCACGATGGTTTTCAGGGGGAACCACGTGGAGGTTAATATATGCCTATGTTCACCAGTAATTAATCAAGATGGTTTCAAGGAGAACTATATGGAGGTCGACCTATATCGATGGGGGGAAGAGATTTTTAGTAATGCGTCCTATCAGTCCCATTGCTAGGGATATACCCTGTCAGGTTGCCCTCCACGTGATTCCCCTTGGAAACCATCGTGCTGAATTCCAGGTATATTCATCACAGTGGGCTAACTGACTTGCCCTTTTATCCTCACCTATCATCCCTCACTGTTGCCCCGCCAGCGTATACCGTTAGCGCAGGCGGGGTTACCATTCCATTATCATCCATTAAAAAAAACCTATATCGAGGAGATATACTTATTATCAACAGTGAAGACTGGAGTTATTACTAATAACATAAGCCACCCCGCCGTATGGGTAAGTCGACGATACGATCCTTCTTTTCGGTTGTAGAACAATGAACATCGATTAATTGTCTGAGAGACACGATAAGGCCCGTTTAGACAAGGTATAATTGAGATATATTTTTAATACCTACCTACAGCACGAGCATCGGGGAACTCCCAAAAGTCAAAGGAATTACAAGATTAAGCGATTATATTTATAATATTCAAGAACTTCTCACATTTGTTCCGTTTTAGGATTGCGTAATGGTACGATTCATAAGGAACCATTATTTTAGATTTAATCTTATTAATTTATTACCTATTTAATTATAACGTCGCCAAAATAGCGCAGTGTAAGAAATAAGAAGTCATCTAACATCATTCAAATACGCCTAATATCTCTGTATATATTCAAAGTTTTGGAATCTAAGTAACGTCTGTCCCACACAAAGTTTAAGCTATAGGCAGACATATCTAAAAGTACATACGCGCATTTTTAAAGGTCCATAGTTATTATAAAAGTAAATGTGAGTTTGTAATAACGTTTGGATATTGAGATATGTTTAAACAATTGAACAAATTTAAATGAAATTTAGTATATTGATAGTTTATATTTTAACTTAACACATAGGAGCTTTATACACTGATACGTGGACAAAGTCGCAGGAAACAACTAATAACAAAATAAAAAAAAAAACAAATATATCTATGAAACCGTTCCTTGAATTTTGCAGTTTCGTCATAAAGATAAAGACGTTAATTAAGAAACTAGCGGCCCCTCCCGGCGTCGCACGGGTGGACAATTTTACATTTTAAAAAGTGGTCATTAAGGCTGCATACGCGACGGAAGCTTAAAAATGGAGTAAATTCTCCCGTTTTCCCAACATTTCCCTTCACTGCTCTGCTCCTATTAATCGTAGCGTGATGAAAAGTATACTATAACCTACCCAGGAGTATGAAGAATAATTGTACCAAGTTTCGTTAAAATCCGTCGAGTAGTTTTTGTTTCTATAACGAACATATAGATAGACAGACAGACAGACAAAAAATTTACTGATTGCATTTTTGGCATCAGTATCGATCACTAATCACCCCCTGATAGTTATTTTGGAAATATATTTCATGTACAGAATTGACCTCTCTACAGATTTATTATAAGTATAGATATAGATAGATGAAAACAACTATTCAATCAAGAGAAACACAAATAAAGCAGGCATATCACCAAAAGAAATGTTTCACTAAGGAAAATCTTCATTTACATGCAGTAAAAAAAAGTAAACTAATGTGACAATAGTGAGAGGTATGTTGACACGTGAAATTTTTAATTGGTCAATTTTATGTTTCTGAATGAAATTAAACATAATTCTATCGTGTGTATATATATACACAGAATTACTACTCGTATATATGTTAAAATCATACAACGTTTGATGGTTCAATATTCAACAAAGAATATTTATGCTTCCATCGAAATGGGCAAGGGAAATTAAAAAAAAATCCGTATTAATATAGTGTTTGTTACCTGTAATCTTCAAGAAATATGATAAAAGACGTAGCATTTAATATAAACAAGAAACATCTTCAAAAGAAGTTATTAGATAATTATAGTAGTCTGGGAATTCCCTATATGTATGTATTCCCTACAGGTACATCAGTAAAAGTGACAAAGTTACTTGAATAGGGGAAAATGGTTAGTGAATTAATAAAAGGAAAAATGTTAACAAAACACATATCTAATGTGACTAATGGATTCCCTATAAATATTGTATGTATGTGAGTAATATTATTAATTTGTTTATACCGGAAGTGTGATAGGTATTTCAAATACGCATAAGGGGGATGGATAAATAGGTTATACTCGTATTTCCAACAGAGCAACAAAGAGATATGAAAGTGGCAGATGCAAGAGATATGTAACAATAATTATCAATAAAATATTTATCTGCTTTTACTCCGGAGCACAGGAACATTATTTTAAATCTGCCTGCACCCCGGAATGGAAAAATGCTCGTAGATTTTTTTGATTTGATTTAAAATTTTATTAATTTATTTTATATTATTAATTGTAATTGAGTTTTTGCCCGGTTTTCTTGGCTGAAAATGCGTTCCGAATGGATGTTAATGTAAAAAGAATGACTATGCAAAAATGTTAGAATCTAAGTTTTCCTTCCTTTTTTTTTCTTTCTTTCTTTCATTTATTTAATACTGTAATCAAAGAAATCCACATGTATATTGATTTAGCAACATTAACAACTGACACTGTAATAATAGCTATGATTTCGAATCCCGTCGGATCGGACTGTCAACCCTTAGGATTCCATAATGTAGTACCATATCATAAAATACATTTAATACTGTAGTATAGACAAGTAATGAGATTTACAGGAGGCATTTTTAAAGATAAATAAAATGTCAATCAATGATAACCGTCGCCTATAGACTTGGATGGCAACATAGCCATCACAGAATACACTGTTTTGATCATAGTATCCCTCATTTGTTCCGAAGACTAAGGCTATAATATCTCCGTACCCCGTATTTTCACTACCATTCATGAATATCCCATTCTTTAAACAAAAACACAACCATGCAAATAAAACTGCTTCCCAGCAGAAGAACGAGTAGGGCCCCAAGTAGTTTTGGACATAGTCTTTGAAGATTCTATACATATAATTTACCGATATTTTTTTTATATATATTTTTTTTTTTTTTTTACAACACAGGGGGCAAACGAGCATGCGGCTCACCTGATGGTAAGTGACTACCGCCGCCCATGATCACCCACAACACCTTCTTATAATATAAAGTCCCTTGTTACGATATTTGTTCATGCTAATTTCGGAAAGCGGTCAACCGAATTTAATGAAAATTTGTAAATATGTATTGTATATAGGATATGCGATGATGACTTGATAGTTTTTAGCCCGATAAGAAAAAATTGACCCGATAGGGGCGATAAGGCACAAAAATAATAATAAAATTGTTTATGAATAGATTCACTGCCACTTATTATAATCCATACATAGCAAAGATTCTATAGATAGACACGAAGCAGTTCACTTTAATCAGTGGCGTAACTATACCACTGTGGCAAATTCTTTTGATGGGGCCCTATCAGTAAAAAAAAAAACTTTTTAAGTAAAATAAAATACTTAGGTACAATGTAAAAAAAAAATATTTCTGAGCTCGCGGCCTCTTGAACCGGGGCCCTTTTGGGTCGGGGGCCCGTGGCATTTTGCCAGCCCTGCCACCCTATTGTTACGCCATTGACTTTAATCTTTCTTAATACGACCTACTAAGAACCAGAGAAATATGACTAGAGACTCTTGTTGATTATACATTTTTTTTTTATACAACTTAGAATGGCAAACAAGTTGACGACCCACCTGATGGTAAGTGGTAACCGTATAGACATGAGCAGTACCATGGACATAACAGAGTATACTGTTTCACCCATGATACCCCCCATGCGTTGCCATTCCTGAGGACTCAGATGTTATTCCTCTATACCCTGTAAATTCACGCCATATCCCACCCTTCAAACCGAAATACAGCCATGCAAACACAACTGCTTAACGGTTGAAACACAAATGAGACAGGAGTACCCAAGCAAACTACTTTTGTACATTTTCTCTCTGGTATGACATACAATATACATTTTAGCTATACAACGTGAAATACATAGAAATAAATTTCGAGCAATAGCAAAAAAAAAACGAAAAGACACTTCTGAGTAAAACAAAAATATAAAAGCACCTTTGGACTTTCAAAAAATATATATATAAAAACTGGTCAGAAGAGGAGAAGAAAAATGGTGATTTTTTTTCAGACGGAACAAAGATTAATCGATTTACAAATGATGGTCGCCAATGAAAATGGAAGAGGGAAAGTGAGCCAGTATGTCAAACAGATTTTCTACAGACTGTTAAACATGGTGGTGATGGTGGAGGTAATATTATGATGTGGAGATGTATATCAGCTTATGGGTTGGGTCCTATACACAGAATTGTTGGGAAAATGAATAAATATATCTAAATATTCTAAAACACAAACTAATTCATACAATGGAGAATATGCCTTATCCAATTAAAGAAATATACTTCCAACATAATAATGATCCTTTATGTATGCTTTATGGTGTGCTTTATACCACGAAAACAGCGAAGTCCTGACTCAATTCTCAAGACTTTCAGTTACTGCAGTGGCCAGCACAAAGATCTGACTTAAATCCAATTGAAAATTTTTAGTCACAAATATTCTCAATTATTATAGAGCACGGCCATCATCGTTGAATGAATTATGGATTCGAATTTAAAAGCTATAGGATCAAATTTCACTAGACTACTGTGAAAAATTAGTAAAAGGTATGAAAAATAGATTGGAAGCAGTTAAGAGAGGCTTATGGACAAAATATTAAAAAGTGTAATAATTCAGTTGTTTATTTTGGTGCAAAAGTGATTCATTGTTTTTTTTATGTTATTTTATTATTAATTTTATAATACAGTGAACAGTCTATATAAGCAACTCATTTGAACTAATTTCAATTAAAAATTTTATTATTGGGAAGTTGCTTATAAGGAAAAAAGAAATATAAAAATAATTACTGCCTGGAATTTTTTTATAAAGCTTAGAATGGCGAACGGGCTGACGGCCCACCTGATAGAAAGTGGTAACCGTCACCTATAGACATGAGCAGTACCATGGACATAACACAGTATACTATTTCGCCCATGATACCCCCTATGCATTGCCATTCCCAAGGACTCAGGTGTTATTCCTTTGTACCCTGTAAATTCACGCCATATTCTTTCCTTCAAACTGAAACACAGCCATGCAAACACAACTGCTTTATGGTTGAAAGACGAATGGGACAGAGGTACCCAAGCAAACGACTTTTGTACAAAGTCTCCCTCTGATATTAGAAATATACTCCTGGTAATAAAATATTTTTACTTAACTCTTTTACTAACTAAGCTAAGTAGAATAAATAAAATATAAAGAATTTTGCTTATAGAGAAGTTGCTTACATAGAGTGCTCACTGTATCTCAATTTAATAATGCAACATAAATACACTCTAGTAAATAGTTCTTAATATAGTTTTCAATTGAAAAATTCACTTTATTCACTATCTTTCACAAAAACTATATGGCGTGTATATATATATATATATATATATATATATATATAAATCAGACTTTCAAATATATGGTATGTTTCTCTGACAGTCTGATGTCTCACAGTTAAAGTATATTCTTTTTACAGTATCTATTAGAGTTTGCAATGTATTTATACTAATCTTCCACACATTAAGACTCGACCATTAAGTTTCCTTAGTCAGCTCTTATGACACTTACAGAAAAAGGATGGAGGTGGCAAATTTTTCACTTTATTTTGAAGCGATGTGCTTATGTACACAGTAGGTAATTTATATTGATTTATATAGATCTATAGTAAATTAATATTAATATTATAATCTGGATAAACAATATTAATGGAAAAATTACCTATGATATTTCTATATGCTATACTACTCATTTTATATTTATATTATTAATTGTCACATAATATATAAAATTTTTGTTATAAATTAATAATAATAAAATATTTTGGTTTTATTGGATAAAAATGGACTAGTTAATAGGATATGTTGGCAGGGCTGACCTGTGAAGGGTGATCAATGAGGATGAAAACAGGTCTTAATTAGGAATTAATCATGATAATTTCCAGGGGGAACCACGAGGTCGACCTGATTGAGTATATTGCTAGCAATGGAATTCTCAGTCTCCATTACTAACAATCCCTTTCCTGCTAATATTAAAATATTAGAAAATAATGTAATAACACTCACATATAACCATCTTCATCTCTATCCAAACAATGTTTCCAATCTATATATGCTTGGAGAAATAATAATTTACGTCTATGCTCAGGAGACAGAAGTTTCAATATATCTGGTGTTGCTATATGAAATTGATCCTCTGGTTTTATTGGTATTTCTATTTTTGTATTATCTAAGAGTGTAATTAATACTGGATTAATAATCATATTCCTACTCTCATTCTTAGTGCCAGATTCAATTTCAGTAAACTTTTCAATGTTTAATAACGAAAACGGATCGTCCATTAATTGTGGTAATGTATTGACAGAGAATGAAGACAAATTCCCTGTGCTAGCATTAGAATCTTCATCCAATGCCAAATGCCCAATCATAGGCAATGTCTGCTTTTCATTTGACAATATACTGTTATCCACACTAGACTTTTCATTCAAATGAAACTTATCAAAGTTCTCTGGTTTTATAACAATTTTTTTTACCATCTTATATTCCATACCATTCATATCTTCCACCACCTTGGGCTCGTCTTTCACGACGTATGGCGTCTGGTGTAGGCGCTTCACCCGTTTGCGTTTTTTCGGCTTCAATAAAATATCCATTGAAGTCTCATCTGTCTGAGACAACGTACTCACTGTGCAAGACACTTTTCTATCACTCTCACTGGCACTATCCGTCTGGCAACCAACCTCTTGCGAAGTTTTACTAACAGTCTGCAATGCTAATATGCCTCGAACTTTAAACTCTAAATTGAGAACTGAACACAGAGTACCGAACAACACGTTGTAATTATCTTGACCAATAAGTTTCACGACATTATCTGAAGATTTCACATAAGAGTCGTTCCCGTTGTGACTAACATATTTAGCAGTAGTTCGAACACTGTTCGTGGACAAATTATGATGACTCGTAATAGTAACAGAATAGTCTGTACTCTTCAGGAAATCCCCTTGCTTTGACTCGTAAATCAAATCATCTTTGTACAAATTTTGCAAGGGCGATATAGTCTTTATATTTTTTAAAATTTCACTATTTTCACTCTTTAAAACTGTCACTTTATTATTTCTTAGAAAAATATGGGGAATATGTGAAATTTTCTTTATTAACAAGGGTTTTGGGTCGTCCCCTACATTAGACGAGGACATTGTAAAAATGCTTATGTATTGATGTACTTTTAATTTGTTAAAAATTTAAGTACATATCATAAACAAATATCAATACACATATAAAAAGACGACGAATGCCAAAGAAAACTGACGTTACTCGAATATTTACAAAATAAAGTATTCAGGGTATCCCCCCATTATGTCAGAGGAGAATGGAAAAATCTAAGTATACATATTATACACTAGGCATCAGGGGACTATAGAACGGCCTCAATTACTAGTGTTGCCATAAATTAAAAGAAGATCGGTGATGATGAATATTAGAAACAGTTTATATTGTACGAGATTATGATTATTTTCCGTTTTTTCTTTTTTTATAGATGATAATGGAATGGTAAGCCCACCTGCGCTGTACGGTATACGCTGGCAGGTTTCCAGGAGAATCATGAAAGTCGATCTGCCAGGGTATATTACTAGCAATGGAAGTGGTAATTCATATAACTAATAATACCTTTCCCCCTTGTAATAATGGATATGCGCTTAGGTTTCTGTAGGGAAAGTTATATAATATATTTGCTGAGTAAAAAAGAACAGACTCAACCTTTATGAAAAGAGGTTTCACAACATATGGGGTGAAAAGATTTTGACATTTATTATCAAAACTGCTTTTCCAAATGTTACTAAATGTTATTAAACAAATGACAAAATTATGTTCTGTGTATTTTTTTATTTTTTCTACTTGATTTTCATTTTATACATATTCATTCAGTAAAAAGTATACGTAAAATTTTAAATTTTTGATCCCCAAAACAAAATAAGATTAATAAATAAGAATCTACAGATATTTGTTCAACTTTTTCGTATGCACAAGAAAGATTCTTTCTATCAGCACCATCTGAGAAGCTCTGCGATACTTCGAAAATTCCTATTATTTCTGTGAAAGTGCGCTTAAACCTATTTCTATACAAAAATTATAATTCACAAGAAATCCCATACCACTGATAATTTCTTTAAATTATTTTTTAAGGTATTCCATATTTAAATGTCACAATTGTTCTAATACCGAATTTAGTGATTGAAGTAATAACCTTCGATATATTTATCGATATTTAAGTTAGATCAGTCTAATTTGTTACTAAAATCTCTTCGAACTTAGGCTCCGAATGTACCTAAACTTCATAATATTAATAAATAAGTATAGATTTTAGAAATATAATGAAAAATTCTTTAATAAGCATTTTAGAATCATTACAATTGCGCGGGCGATAATATTTAATGTGTATCGATACCGAGTTGTAGATTAATACCAATACTATCTATTCCCTAGATTGCAGGATAATATCAAAATACTTTTGAAGTGCAAATTTATTGAATATATTTTATTGATTAACTAATATATTTTTTACTATTTTAAATATTCTTGTTCATCCATTGAATACCTAGTCCAGCGGCAAGTTCTGTTACAAATAAAAACGTGTTTTTTTTTATGAAGCAATATTACTAAAATTTATATCTACATATTTATTAAAGTCTCAGCAAAAAATAATAAAATATTCTATTCGAAATGGCTACCTTTGCCTATTATACAAGTCTATAATCTGTCTGGCCACGAATCTATGGATTTACGCACTGTTTTCAATTTTTTTAATTATATAAGGGAAATTTCGCCACTGCTCGCTCCAACGATTTTTTAAGAGACTCAATGTCACCGTGTCGTTTAGAGCAGGCCATGTCTTCTAAAACTGACCATAATTTGACGTCTAAAGGGTTGAAGTCTGGGTTAGATAAGGGCCAGTCTTTAACTCTTATTAAATCCGGAACGTTGGTTACTGGTTACAATTGAGAACACTACGCTCGAAGTTGTCGATGAGTATGTATACCTGGTACAACTTGTCCGAATGGATAAGTCCAGCATCGACTGAGAGGTCAACCAACGAATCCAACTTGGCTGAGCAGCTTCGAAAAATTACGTCACAACTTTTCATCCAAACTACCTCAGAGTTTGAAGGCGAAGGTCTTTAAACAGTGCGTGTTGCATGACTTATGGAACATGGTCCTACACTATTGTCTGTATGCAATAGCTTGAAATTATTCAACCGGCTACAGAGCGGGCTATGCTCGGGATTTCTTTGCGTGATAAAATCCGAAACGAGGACATTCGCAAAAGAACCAAAGTAACCATAGTCCGAAAAATAAGCAAGCTGAAGTGGCAATGGGCTGGTTACATAGCTCTAAGAACCGACAATCGATGGGAAAAAAAGATTATTGAGTGGCGACCTTGTACGGACAAACGCAGTATAGAATAACCCCTCAGTAGATGGAGTGACGATCTTAAATGCAATACTGAGAGTCAGTGGGTGCATGTTGCATAGAACCGTACCTTATGGCAGTCTCAGTCAGTTACACAATCAGTTAAACCCCTTTACTAACAATCCCTTTCCCCCGGAAAGGCATAGTTTGTAAATATCAATCGTCCAATAGCCCCATTGCTAGCAATGCCAGGTCGATTTCCAGGTGGGCCCCTCTCAAAACCACGATGGGCTAACTAACTTGCTTTCATCTCTATCTAACATCACTCACAGGTGTGATAGTCACTCACAGCGTCCTGCCAGCGTCCTGCCAGCGGATACCGGTAGCGTAGACGGAGTTACCACTCCATTTCATCCATTAAAGGTAGAAGAGCCGGGACATTCGGTCCTCATACAAAACACTCAACATTATTCATCTCTTCTGTTTAAATACTTACTTAGGCACCTACTTAGTATTTACAAAAGTGACAATAATAACTGATTTTGCTAATGACCTCATTTCTGATTTCTATTCACCCCAACCTCGGGGTGTGTAGGAAATGGACACAATTTAGAAAATTTCAAGGAAATTAGGAGATATATCATATCAATACCAATCATAAATAGTCAAATTTAAAAGATTTCGGATTTTATACCGAAACATGAAATGGTAATACTGTACAGATATATTTAACAAGGAAAAAAATTGTCTTTTCAGCTCGTTTTACGGTAAATTAAATGTCAATGTCAGTATCAATAAGTATTGTCATGTCTGTTTTGTTTTAGATAAACATATCGTAAACAAACTGCAGCATAATGCAGTTTTAGACGAAAATCTTTCAGTAAATTTTTTCTCAGATTACCTTTAAAAATAACTGTAAAATAAATAATTAATGACACATTAAAGCAAATACTGAAAAGGGTATTCATTGACCGAAACTAGTAATATTTTATTTAGCAGCACGTCCGGGCTTCGCACGGGTGGAGATTTTTACAACATTTTACATTTTTATCTGATCCTACCTAGCTACCTATTTTATAGATGTACCCGCCCCCACCTTCCCCTCTCCCGCACTATTAAATTCGTAATATTTATTCAATGGAATAACCGATTTTAACAATTCTAAAAGTAATCTACATAAATGGAAACAGTTTTGAAAACAATATGATTTATTAGAATAAGGATTTAAATAGAAGTATAAATAACATGACGTAATTTTGATCGGTATTTCTATCAACTTTTAAAATGTAAAAAGTGGTTATTGTGACATAACGATAATAGTTGGACATATAGTATCGCCAAGTTTTTTGTAGTTATTGATATTTTCTTTAATATTGTAGAACATTCTTTTGTTCTATCACCAATAGTTTGCGCAACGCACACGACGAAAGATATTTTATAACATCTTTTTACACCTTGAGTTACGTTACTAAAGTTTTAGTAAGGATCCCTAATGTTTTCAAACAATAAATATAGCCTGTTTCTCGGGGTGAATGTAGCTTTCTAATGGTATAAAAAATTTTTAAATCGGCAATGTAGTTTTTGAGTTTATTCATTACAAACATACACACAAAAATACAAATCTTTCCTCTTTATAATATTATTATAGTGTAGATTTAATAAACAACTTGTTCCTTATTAAAATAATTTATGAATGTTGAATGAAAGATGCGACTTATCGCCTAAATTCATCAAAAGTATATTTATTTAGTTTTTGAAAAATACTACCTATTTTTCAAACTCAGACTTGTAATGTACATTTTATATCCTTGTTTATGTAGATTATATAGTATATATATATATACATACATATACATGTTTTTTAATTATCTTTTCATTTGTGGTAGATGAGATTACGTATTTACATATTAAGAAAACTTTTGACTTTTAAGATTTGATAATTAAGATGGTTTATATTATAGTTCTCATTTATCACATCTTCATCAGTAAAACATAAAGACTATAAAAGACAGAATTGTAAAACATAATAGAAAATCAGTATAAAAATATAAAAGGTGTACTATGATGGCCTGTACGCCACACCAACCCTATCCCCCGCGGAAAAAGTAAGGCTCACAGGTCGAGTCTATTCCTAAAACGAACATTTCTGCCCGATCTGATGATCGGCCCAGTAGCTTGCGAGGCTGGTGAAGGAAGTACAGGAGCGGGATGTGGTGAAGTGAAGCGTGTAGATTGGCCGTGTGAAGGGACGTCACGTTGAGTAGTATCCAGTTCTAAACGAGCAGGCTTCACGTGGTCAAGACTTACAGTGACCTTCTTACCGTTAGTATGGAGAATTGCAGTTTTGTTGTTCTGGACCAAAATGCGATATGGACCGGAATATGGTAATTGAAGAGATTATCTGATGCTGTCATTTCTTGAAAAGGCATAAATAGAGTCGGGCAAATCTTTGAAAACAAATATACTGGGTGTTGATTGATGAAATCTGGCTAGCTCAGCAGATTTGTAAGCTACGTGTATAGCTTCGACTCGTTGCATAGCATCAGCGACATTGTTATCAGAGTCTTTCAGATATATTATGTTAGTTGTGACTACCAGAGGGAGGACTTTGTACAAATGTGGCCATGAGAACTGTTACTCTGCTTCCTATGCCACTGTGTTAGGTTGATTGGAAGAAATCTCTTTTAGAGATAAGTTCGCCTGTGCTAACATTGTTTTTTTTTATACCACTGAGGTGGCAAACAAGCCTACAGCCCACCTAATGGTAAGTGGTTACCGTAGCCTATGAACACCTGTTGTTATTAACTTCTTATTATTACTGTATGTTTTAGTGCAATAAAGAATATACGTATTGTTTAGCATTCAGCTTTTTACTAAAGAAACCTAATACCTACCAAATGTTACCTACTTTTTAAAGAGGACGGCATATTCGTAAACTGTACAAACAGCATACTAATTAAGAGAAACGT